TCTCAACCAATCCAGAGCAATTCAAACAACTCAACGAAACAAAATTTCTTTCTTTTTTTATGCTCAACTTTGGCAACGTTGTTAAGGAAGTGCAATCGTCTGTGTTCATGAAAACACCGGAGAAGCGTTCATTATCAACCAATCCAAAGCGGAAATAGGGCAATTGTTGAAGCCTTTGGCACCCGTGTACCGAAAATGACACAAGCTTAGGAAGACATCCAATGCTTGCAGGAAGGCTAACAAAATTGTTTCGACTAAGGTCTAATTTTTCTAAAGAGGACAAGCAGCCAATATCAACGGGAATATCCCCTTCACAAAGACCACAATCACTCAGATCCAAAAGCCTCAAAGACCATAAACCAAGTACTGAACTCAACACAAAAGCCTTTCTTTGGAGGCCCCACCAAAACCTTGATTTGTCACTAAATGAGTTTCCACTCGCAGAGAGCCATTCAAGAGACTTCAAATTACAAATTTCGCTCGGAAGACCCACGAGATTTTCACAATTACTTACATTTAGATGAGTAAGGCCAACAAGACGTCCAATTGATGAAGGTAATTTCTCAATGGACGTCCCTTTTAAAAAAAGAGATGACAAATTTTCCATTTGTCCTGAAAATTCTGGAATCTTTTTCAGTTTTGAGCAACCGTCAAGTACGAAACACACAAGAGAATCCATTTCTACCTCACTTGGAAGACTCTTAACACTTTTGCATCCATCTAGTCTTAATTCTGTAAGCCATTTGAGATATGCAACCGACGGGTGAATCTCAACTAAATTCTCACACCCTTCAAGATTCAACACCTGGAGTTTTGGAATGCCAGTGAAATTTGGGGTTGCTGCCAAGTTTGGAGACCAACTAAGGTCCATGTATTTCAAATTAGGCAAGTCCTGTACAATATTACATGAAATAGTAGAACATATAATTAGCAACCGAAAAACTTAAACTTTTACTCTCTTTTTTCAAAAAATTCGTAAGATGGCATATGGTCAGTAATCTTACAATTCTTCCATCCCACAGCCCAACTAGTTCGCTGTCCTGCATCTCAAGTGAAACAAGTTTATTCGGTTGAAAATCTGATGGGAGAAATTTCGAAGGAAAATAATTCCATATCATAGTTCTTAAGGAATTAGGAAGAATTATGGGGCTTGAAGTATTGATCACATAGTCAACTTCAAGAAATTTCAGGTTAATCATCTTAGAGAATGCTTCACAATTCCAATCCGCCTTTTCAAGTTTCACCATGCTTAAGGCGATGCCTTGAATTTTGTTAGTTGCCTGTAATAAAGAATAGAAAAGAAAAAGTTAATTCCACATTTAAGTCTTATATTGAGTTAAAAAGAAATCATATTTCTTAAATTAAAAAAACAAATAAAAATTGGTATTTTCTTTTTAACTTCTTACCGTATTGTTTATCAATACATGAATGATGTCATTACGATGACACAATCGACTACGTCCACCGGGCTCTTCAGGAGACTCTTGACGAACAATTTCAAATGCCATTTCTTGTATCAAATCATGCATCCCAACAATGTTAAAGTTGTTTGAATTATCAATAGTTAAGAGCGACTTCTCAACGAGAGCATTTATCCCACCACAACGGTCACAACTGTCTAGTATTTCAATTACTTTCTTCTTGTCCTTCCCCTTAAGGAAAAATGCAACATCGAGAAATATATTCTTGCTCATCTCATCTAGTCTATCAAAACTGATTTTGAGCAAATCGAAAATTACTGTCTCAGGAATTTTCCATAGCTTATCCAATTCATTTTTCCATTCATCTCGATCTCTCTTATACAAAGAGCATCCCAAAATTTTAAGAGCTAATGGAAGGCCTCTAGCATAATTTACAAAGCACTTGGACAATTCCCAAAAACCTTCCTCGGGCTCAAATTTTTTAAAGGCCTTCAGACTAAAGAGCTGAAGAGCCTCATCATCACCTAATCCCTCTACCTTATATGCTATCTCCATATCATGCTTTTTAACCAACCGTTCATCTCTAGTTGTAATGATGATTATACTCCCCTTACCAAACCAATCCTTTTCCTTAGCAAATTTCTCTAGTTGGCTTGATGCATTCACATCATCAAGAATGAGAAGAACCTTTTTATTACATAAGCAATTCTTAATGAAATGGGTCCCCCAGTCTTCATTCAAAACTTGAGCAATTTGTTCCTTCAAGATAGGGAAAAGAAGCTGTCTTTGTAGATCAACAAGACGATTACCTTCAGAAGCCTCTCTAACATTAGCAAGAAAGCAGGGAACTTCAAAATGAAAAGAAATGCTTTCATAAACAAACTTAGCAATGGTTGTCTTGCCAATGCCTCCCATCCCCCATATCCCTACAAAGCGAACATCATCTGTATGAGCTACAAGCAAATCCATTTGCTCACGTGTAAACTTAATTCCCACTAACTCTGTTGAATCTAACAACTTGAATGTGCGATGCACTTTCCCCCACACCCATTCTGCAATCTTTTCAATGAGCTTTCTTTCACACCTACAAGGAAGAACAATGATTAAGTCAAAAGTATAAGCCATAGATATAACAAGGTCTAAAGGTACATCAAAGTGAAAATTGGCTTACGAAAAACCCAAGTATTTGTGGAGAAGTTGCTTACTCATTCTTTGAATCCAACCCAGATAAATAGGCAACTTCAGTTAAAGCAGCTCTCCAGCACTTCACCTTTTCTACGTCTTCCCTAAACCTTTTCTCATGCTCAGCGAACGCACCTGCAAAACTGCCGCTTTGTTTTCGCACATCGGTGGGATCCACATTAAAAAACACAGGCAGAACTGTGCCGTTGGATTTCATGCATTGGAGAATCTTTGTAAGTTCATCCAAGCACCAGGAAGAAGAAGCATAGTTTGGCGAGAGAACAACGATTGCAAGCCTTGATTCTTGGATTGCGTTGAAGAGATCAGAAGAAATAGTTGTCCCTCTTTCAAGCTTTGGATCATCCTTGAATGTTTTAATGCCCCTGTGCTGCAATTCGTGGTATAAATGGGATAAAAAGCTATTTCGAGTGTCTACCCCCCCTGAAACTCAAAAACACATCATAGTTCCATTGAGGAGGAGCCGACTGATCTGCTGAAGGATAAAAAGCAGAGGCTCTTTGGGTGCTCAACGCCATTGGAAATCTGCTGCTTCTGCTGTAACACTACTCAATGAAACAAGAACTTCGCTAATTAAATATTCAAAAATCCAAACACTCAACTGAATAAATACGAAGGCATATAATGCAGCAGAACAAGTTTCAGAGCAACTGGGGAAATTTAGATAGTCAAACATGGATTTTGTCATCGTGTTAATTTGGATCATCTAAGCAAACATGTCAATTTGGACCAAATATCTAAGCAAACATGTCCATTTGGATATCAAATATCTACTTCCATTTCAGCATAGAGAATTTCAACATTAATGTTACCTGAACAACGCAATTATGAAAATGGAGACGAAGCAAGGCAGCAGAATTGGTAAGACAACAACCACAAGACCAGCAAGCCAACAAGAAACTCACAAAAAAATACAAGATCAGCAAGAAGCAAAGCTAACAGCCTCAGAAAAGAGATGCAGAGAGAGAGAGAGAGAGAGAGAGAGAAGTAGTGGCGAACAGAGCGAGGTGTAGAGTACACGATTTTTATGGTCAGCTATCTCCAACGTTTCTAATGGGAGTCCAAGTCTTGTTGCGTCAATGAGTCATTTCTTATGCTTTTCAATGAAGAGGAAGGAGGGTCTCATTTCATTTCCGACAAGTTCTTAGAGTGGTTACTTTTCTTGGTAAACTGTGGTGAGATTTTTTTATTTTTTATTTTTCAAACGATAGGGGATTACTTGATCTTTCCCTCACAATCAATCAATAATATCAAACTTTGTTTATTAATATTCCCATTTGTTCCGTCTGTCATAAGTCTACTGAACCCCTTAATCAGATTATGCACAACTCTGGTACATTGTACAAGATTTTGGCATGAAATCCCCACCTGCTTTTCGACAAAAAAAAAAAAAAAAAAAAAAAAAAAAAAAAAACAAAATCCCCACTATACATTGCTAATAACTGGATCATAATGTATATGTCCCAATGGCATCAGGTTTCACCTTCTTTTCTTAAGGGTTCTTTACCATCTGTCGGAAAACATTGGCATCAGAGTAATATTTTGATCTTTCAAACTAAGACTCGGGGCCTTAATCAAGCTATTAGTCACTTTAAATTTCTCCTCAGTATAAGGTATTAAGTAAGAGTGCTGCTAAACGAACCCTAAAATTAACTGAGTACACCCAATGATCTAAGTACACCCTAATATTTTAATTAAAATGTAAAATTAAATAAGTACACCCTATTGGACTACCAAAAATACCCCTGGTACACCCTAATACTTGTAGCATTATTTTATTGTTGATTTTCAGCTTGATTTTTTTAATAGTGTTTATAAATCTTTGACTTTTCATATGGATTTATGCTTCTACTAAAACTGTTGACACTTTTTTTGCAATTCCAAGTTCTGCAATCACCACCTCTTTCGTTAATAGTGATTTTTTATGCATGTTTCAGTTATATACTACTATGCTACTATGAAATTTATTTGTTCTCAACTTTCCCAACCTCTCTAGATGGACTATTCGTAGTTGGAAACCAATAACTTGTATTTGCTCTCCACCTCTTATTGTTTGTTACCTCTAAATACAGGAAAAAAATTTGAGAAAGCTCTCCGGATAAGAATGCTAATACACATTTTGTTGGGATTCAAGATCATATCATTTTGGGAAGCACTGATAAATAGTCTGTCCTTTCTTAACAAAGTTAAGCTTTTGAGAAAAGGTTTTATTTGCCTTGTGACTTCCTTATTAATGTCACCAATATGATGCTTCACAAAACTACTCAATAAATATAGGGTCATTATCATAAGGGTCTGCTACACCAGCTTCATATCTAAATTGACGTATACGATCTTGATATGGTGTAAGCCAATCTGATGCAGTTATCGTTGCACATCTCAACCAACACTCATATCAATTGGTGGCATAGGGTGTTGACCTTCCAAATAAACCTGTAAAATAAAAAATAAAAAAATTAATCAAGTTATGTGAAAAGAATAGTAAACAAACACACACACACACACACATATATATATATATATATGCATAAACATCTTAATTGTTTTACCTTAATCCAGTGGTTGTGGTTAACAAATCTAATCGAAATCTCATGGCGATAGATAGAATCCAATGGAGCAGTCTCATATGGAAAAAATTTAAGTGACTGATGCACTGACCAAGTCATGAGGATTACATTATAACAAGATGCAATGAGGTGTCCCATATCTGATATAGTCATCCACCTATCTTGAAGTGGGAAGTCCTCAAAATAGTCCAACATATACTCAATATGTTGTACCCGTTCCTTACCATTTAATATTAACTCGTATATGACAGATTATTTCCTCAACTCCTTCAACAAGTCTCTACGTACTTTGTGCCAAGCATTGTCACCGAATCCCATCAATGATCCAATGGCTCTAAAACCACAATTACCATCACTCTTAACATCTTGTGCCCCTCTAATATGTATCAACATATGTTTAGGAAACCACTTGTTAAACTTTGGTGTTAAGCAAAAGTAATCTACAATGGGTTTAGGCCTATAGACCTGCATATTACAATTACACCCAAATTACAATATAAACGACCGTATACAAATTTAATATTGTAACTACTTACAAGTAGCTTCGAAGGCCGCTTCTTTGGATTCACATATGGCAATGGTTAGATACATCTTTTGGATGCTGTAAAAAAAAAAACCCCTCATATTTGTCATTTTTCGGTACACATGCTTTAGCCTAAACCAACCAAAAATAAATAATAATAAAATCAAAGTTGGTTCACTAAAATTGATCAAGTTTCATGTTTTTCACTTATAAGAACATAAGAGAAAAACAATAAGAAAGGTGCATGAGTGGCAAAAGAAAGTCACTGCAAACTTCATCAAATTGGCCCTAGTAGTACTAGTTAAGATATTTTTAATCATACACGCTCACAAGCCAGAAAAACTAAGTCCTACAAGGGGGATGAAGATGGTGCCACCACAGTAGGGTCAAAGAGTTTTTCATTCATGTTGTTAGTGAACTAGGCAAAAGTAATATGCATAAATTCTATTTTTACAGTATATAAGTCAATTCACCATAATATTGTTTTGACAACTTACTCGATTGAAATTATCGTGTCTCTTGTCAGGAATTCAATGATTAATTAGGCCTTCACATAATCTCCACCGCTGTGCTTCCTTTTGGACCGCGAGAAGAAGCATATTTGAGCCTAAGTCTTCTTCTGCTTAGCAGGTTGTGCTTTAACTTCTCCTTTCACAACAAACTCAGTCATGTATTGAACAACAACCTAAGATTATATTTGCTCCAACCCATTCTGACTCGCGGATCACAAAGATGGGAACCAAGTAATCTCTTGATTAGGGTTGAATACGATTAGTAGGGTGTACTTATTAAAATTATATTTGTTTCACAATTCCATATATCATTTTTGGTCATTTTATATTAGGGTAAATCAATAATTCAATATATACTTTTGTAGTAGGGTGTACTCAGTTAATTTTAGGTTCATTTAGCAACGCTCTTAAGTAATGACCGTCAGTTGAGTAAACGCATTTATTCCTACACTAGAAGTCTTAAGTTTGAGGACCCCATTTATAAATTCAAACGAAGTTTTGCACACATGACGATGACGTATGATAATAGTCCCAGCATTTCGGAAAATTTTGTTCAATGTCAACAATAATTTCATGTATATTAGTTTAAGGTCAATGGCGTAAGCCTGAATTTATGGGCTAGGAATTCTCGACTCTAAAATTTACCAGTTTACCCAGCCACTGCACACTTGATGGTTAGATATGAACAAGATGATAAGTGACATGGATGAAACACAAAAATAGTAATTACCTTTGTTTGGGTAAAAATGGAATTCAATTAAACAACAGAAAAATAAAGAGCCAAAGGACGCCGTGCAGCAGAAGCTACACTGAAGAAAAGAAACCCACAAGGAAATTGTAGGAACATATGGAAAAACAGAGAGGGGAAAGAAAAATAATGGAAGAGAGAGAGAACCGCGTAGTGAACGCAGGTTTCTCTTTCCAGCCACACAACGACTCCAATGAGAAAGGGAACATACGAAATTTCAAGCCAATCTGGCTAATAAGCACAAAACTATCAAGACCCCAAATTTGAGTTGACGACGAGGAGAGGAAAACAAAAAAATTATTAATAAAAGATGTGGTGCAGTGCAAGCCAATCTTGGCAAAAGAAAGAAGAGAAATAGAGAGGATAGGAAAAGGCGGGCTGCATAGCAGTAGACGAAACCATATTAAAAGGTAAAAGCATGGGTAAAGGCATGTGGCAAATTTTAAAAGGCTTATTATCACAAAACGTCTCTAAGGTTTACGAAACTATCAGATTGCATCTTTTTTTTTTTTTTTTTTTTTTTTTTTTTTTTTTTGGTCCTCAAGGTTAGTATGTGTGATCACAAATGGTCCCTGCCGTTAGGTTTCGTCAAAAACTCCGTTAGTTTGCTGACGTGGCATATATATATCACAAAACATCCATGAGGTTCACTTACCTATCAAAAATGGTCCCTGCGAAATTTTTTAATTTTTTTAATATTTAAAATTCATAAAATGTTGGTTTTCTTTTTAAAATTTTATGAATTTTAAATTATTTAAAAATATATATTATATTTTAAATACATGTGACACTATATTATTGTAGATGTGGGCTCCATATATATGTCACATCAACAAACTAATGGAGTTTTTAAAAAAGTAATTTCAAATTCATAAAATTTTAAAGTGAAAAAAATTAAAGGTTTAGGGTTCATAAATGGTCCTCAAGTTTAAAATCCTTCTATAAATGGTTTTTTCATTTATAAATCATTTTAAAAAGAAAACTAAAATTTTATGAATTATAAATTTAAAAATAAAAAATTTCGTAGGGACCATTTGTGATTGGTGCGTGAACTTCAGGGATGTTTTGTGATATATATGCCACGTTAGCAAACTAACAGAGTTTTTGACGGAATCTAATAGTATGGACCATTTGTGATCGCACATACTAATCTTGAGAACCACGAGTGACACAAAAAAAATATTAAGGATGCAATCTGATAGTTTCGTAAACCTTAAGGACGTTTTGTGATAATAAGCCATTTTAAAATGAAACTAGTGGAAGAAAAGGAGGTGCTGGAACCCAAAAAGGGGAGAAAATAATGCTGTGATTGAAGGGCAGATAAATAAAAGAAAGAGAGATGAGAAGATAGCACAAAAGTAAGGGAGACCACCGAAAGAGAGTAGACTCGAGGCAAGGGAGAGGGAATAAAGATCAGAAAAGGAAAACAATGACAAAGAGAGAGTGTCTGTGAGGAAATAGACAGAGAGAGAAAGGGATGAATATTGGTTAGGTAGGGTAGTAGATGTTGACAAATGTGAGAGGTGTGGAAAAAGGAGGCATATTGTGCAAATAAGACAACAAAAAAATTAAGAAAAATTACAAAGCACAAGACCAGCAAGCCAACCAGAAACTTACAAAGAAAAAAATACTTCTCAAGATCAGCCTAGAAACCAAGAAGAAGAAGCAAAGCTAACAGCCTCAGGAGAGAGAGAGAGAGAGGAGAGAGAGAGAGAGAGAGAGAGAGAGAGTAAAGCTGGAAACGTGTAGTTACAGTAGTTATAGTATTGAATTTTCCATAGCTTATCCAATTCATTTTTCCATTCATCTCGATCTCTCTTATACACAGAGCATCCCAAAATTTTAAGAGCTAATGGAAGGCCCCTAGCATAATTTACAAAGCACTCAGACAATTCCCAAAAACCTTCCTCAGGCTCAAATTTTTAAAGGCTCAATTTTTTTAAAGACGTTTAGACTAAAGAGCTCAAGAGCCTCATCATCACCTAATCCCTTTACCTTGTATGATATCTTTATTACATAAGCAATTCTTAATGAAATAGGTCCCCCAGTCTTCATTCAAAACTTGAGTAATTTGTTCCTTCAAGATAGGGAAAAGAAGCTGTCTTTGTAGATCAACAAGACGATTACCTTCAGAAGCCTCTCTAACATTAGCAAGAAAGCAACTAACTTCAAAATGAATACATATTTTGTCAAGAACTCGCTTCATCTTGCCGATGCCGCCCATCCCCCATATCCCTATAAAACGAACATCATCCCTATAAAATGAACAAATGGATGCTACAAGCAAATCCATTTGCTCACGAGTAAACTTAATTCCCACTAACTTTGTTGAATCTAACAATTTGAATGTGCGATGCACTTTCCTCCATACCCATTCAACAATCTTTTCAATGAGCTTTCTTTCACACCTACAAGGAAGAACAATGATTATGTCATAGATATAACAAGGTCTAAAGGTACATCAAAGTGAAAATTATTTGGCTTACGAAAAACCCTAGTATATATGGAGAAGTTGCATGCTTACTGATTCTTTGAATCCAACCCAGATAAATTGGCAACTTCTGTTAAAGCAGCTCTCCAGCGCTTCACCTTTTCTATGTAGAGGATCATGTCCCAATGGCATCAGGGTTTCACCTTCCCCTCTTTACCATATGTTGGAAAATTTGGCATCATAGTATGATTTGATCTTTCAAAATAACACTTAGGGCCTTAATCAAGCTATTAGTCATATATTAAATTTCTTCTCTGTATAATCTACTGAATAATAACCTTACAGTTGGTCAATAGCATTATCCCTACTAGAGAGCTTTTGAGACACTTAACCACACTAGAGAGCTTAGATCCACCCTGTCTTGTGTGACTGCGTGTGTTTGTTAGATTGCTTGGCTTGGGGTTCTATGTTGGGCCCACAAAATTTACATTTTCTGCATATTCCAGTCTTATCACAGCCCATCGGCTATCCTTCTGTCCATAACTTTATTGAATCCCTTCGTATTATGCAGGATTGTAATTAGGCATCAAATCCCCACCGCCGTACTAATGTAGAGGATCATGTCCCAATGGCATCAGGTTTCACCTTCCCCTCTTTACCATATGTTGGAAAATTTCGCATCATAGTAATGATTTGATCTTTCAAAATAACACTCAGGGCCTTAATCAAGCTATTAGTCATATATTAAATTTCTTCTCAATATAATCTATTAAATAATAACCTTACAGTTGGTCAAGAGCATTATCCCTACACTAGAAGTCTTGCATTCAATTTCCCTTCCACCATATCACTATATATAAAAAATAAAAATAAAAAGCACAAAATATTGTCCTCCAATTTGGTTAGGTAAATAATAATCTTATAGCTGTATTTAACCTAAAGAGGATGCCTGAAGTTCAAATTCTCTTTCCAGATGTTAGTAGCGCGACTCTTCATAGTGGCGCAACTCATACATTCATTCGAAGTTTTGCACACATGATGACTTACGATAACAGTCTGAGGTTTAGTTTGAGATATAAAGGGGTATGCCAATTTCAGCTTACAAATATAAAAGAAAATTTGCTGGTAAGACCCAAAAGAAGAAAAACCAAAATGTGAAGTAATTTTGGACAAGCATGAGAAACAGCTGAGAGAAAGGGAGATGACAATGCATTTGAGCTGAAGATTTGCTGAATTAAACTCGAATATTGTATAATAAACATGAAAATCCACATACTTGGGACACAAGAAAACAAAAGCTAAAGGAAGAACCAAAGATAGTAGCTTAAGACCACATAAGTAACTCTTACCCAAAAGTTAATTTAAAGATTCCATGAAGTTGATTCTCACAAGTCAAAACTAGAAGCATCGATTCCGTTTCGAAAGTAGAAGCAATAACTCATGGTGAGACAATCCAAAATGGGGTTCCCACTGTTTGAGGTTTCTTGGAGTTCATCTGACAAAAAACAGGACTACGTTCCTCAAATTCAAAATGGCAAGAGTCAAAGCATGGCTAAACAGAAATAACTTAGCATACAGCCCGTACAAACAATGGCTATGAATCGGGAGCATAAAAACTGAAAAATTTAGGCAGCCCAGCATTAGAGGTGAATTGCTCAAATAAATTCAGCATGCACAAACACCTCTTTGATCAGACTCTGAAACAGCCTCCAGGATGCCTTGGAAATGTCTGCAAGTAAAAAGGAAATGGAAAAAATTGATAAAACATCATGTTTAAATGGGTCATAAATGTATCTCATAGCAAGCTCCAGAATCTGAAAATAACAGCATGCAGCAATAATAGCAGAAAGACAAACATTCTAAATGGAAAGGTGAGGGACCTTGTAAGGTGACCGAAAGGTGGGGACATTGTATGACGATGGAAAAGCAGAGGCGTTGTAGTGTGATGAAAAGTTTGAGACACTTAGAGCGATGAAAAGTTGGGGACACTGCAAGGTTATGGATAAGGTATTGACTAAACAACACAGCCAGTTGCAAATTTTTTTTTTTTTTTTTTTTTTTTTTTTTTTTTTTTTTTTTTTTTTTTTTTTTTTTTTTTTTTTTTTTTTTTTTTTTTTTTTTTTTTTTTTTTTTTTTTTTTTTTTTTTTTTTTTTTTTTTTTTTTTTTTTTTTTTTTTTTTTTTTTTTTTTTTTTTTTTTTTTTTTTTTTTTTTTTTTTTTTTTTTTTTTTTTTTTTTTTTTTTTTTTGTTGTTTTTTTGGGGGGGAAAAAAAAAAAAAAAAAAAAAAAAAAAAAAAAAAAAAAAAAAAAAAAAAAAAAAAAAAAAGGGGGGGGGGGGGGGGGGGGAAAAAAATTTTTTTTTTTTTTTTTTTTTTTTTTTTTTTTTTTTATAAAAAAACCCCACCCCCCCCGGATCTTTAGAGGTGAATGATTCATGTTTCGCTACTTATCTAATTCTTAACTATAAACTGTTATAACAGCATCCTAGAAGATCTCAAATTAAGTTTTAAGGAGAATATTTCTCTATGTTTATGTGCTATCATTATAACTAGATAATAGCAAAGGATATCATTATAATTTAATCCACACATATCTTTTTGAGGTGAAGACTGATACCCGTGGAAAAACTTACTTGTTCATGATGCCTCCATTGACGGAATCACAATAATGCTTCATCCATCACATGAACTCCAAATTATCCAGAGGCCTTCCTTTCACATGCTTGCTCACCTCAATGTGCTAAAAATCCCCAGACACATACAGAATACCAAAAGAAGAGTAAAGAGATAAATTATTTAGGAGTTTTACGACAGAAATTAAAGAGAATGAAAATGCAAACTTACCGTACGCTGGCCAGGAATAATTGTTGAAACATGACCCAGTTTAAGCTGCTTTTCTTCTCTGCTCCGCAATGAATATTCAAATGATCCATTATTTGAGCCAGCACATGGAAAATAGCAACTTCTAGCAGCGAAGTAAGCATGATTTGTATCGGCGAACATTTAAAAAATGAAAATTTAAGGAAAACGTTACAGTATACCAGTGACATTCATTTAAGAAAAAAGAAAACATCAGGAAGCTTTTTCATCTCTCTCTTGCTTGCTAGCTATGGCTTTTACCATTATTTTCTTGAGCTGATGAGGTGCTTGAGTGTCTCCAAACCCTATTCAAAAGACAGAGGAAATAACAATGTAATCCTATACACTAAGAACAAAACAGAGCAGTAAAGATTAATCCATATGAAGCAAGCATTGACTCAAAATTCATTAATTAGTCACCTCCTCTGCAAATGCTTCGCCCAAAGAGCAATATAACTCTGCACAAATCACAGCCCAACCCAGTTTTGTTAGGGCAATTTGCAGTGATCACAGTGGGTTCCCCAACCTTGTCTGCCTTGCCAATTACCACAACATCCTGCAAAGCTCAGCGGCAATGGAGAAAGTGTGAGCCAAAACGCACTGCATGCCAAAGTCAACAAAATTTCCTATCCATGGACTCACTGCAACCTTCTCCGCCTTCCTTTCTTTTCTCTCTGTGTTTTCCTAAAAGACTATAGTGCAAATATGATCAAGTTTTCCACTTGACAAATTACTACAAGCAAAATGTGACATTAATAAATGCAATTAGATCGATATTTTGACCAAAATTTAAGATACTCAAACTCAAGTAAATCCAAAACTCAGTAAGAGACTTGGACTTGAAAAATCTAACAAACCCAAAATTGAAAGGTAGTCCCAAGAAAGGATGAAAAGTACTTCCTATCTCTTAGCTTGAGCCTTGAAATATAAATATCAATTAAACTAGGTATACCAACTTCATATCTCTGTTTTACAGACCAACAAAGTATGGAAAATGTACTAAAACCACAAGAAAAAAAGGCGTAGCCCGGAGGAATACGCGCAACGTTCGTGTCTAAAATGGGCAATGGCGTAGCCCGGAGGAATCACTCAACTGTGCTATGCGTAACTTGTATGATTTTCAAGCACATAATGCTCTGCCCAGACCTAGTGTGCTACGAGCGAAAGGCCATTGGCAGTGCCCTCCGATGGGTACCATTAAGATCAACGTGGATGGGGCTTTCCGAGCGGCTGGAGGTTTGAGTGGCTTTGGCCTGGTGGCCCATGATCACAATGGGAGTTTTCTAGGATGCAAGATGGGTCGGTTTCGTGGGGTGTCGAATCCTTTGCACGTTGAACTGCTGGCGCTGCGGGAGGGCCTGCATCTGGCAGCAAAGTGGCCAGGTCTCCGCATCTGTCTTGAGAGATGCACAGGGGATGATCAACTCTGTTCTCAATCGTGGAGTGGATCTCTCCCCCCTTGGCTGCTTGATTGAAGATTGTCAAGAGCTTTTGCGTGCTGCATGTCTTGTTTATGTTGTGCATGGCTTTCGTGAAGTCAATTGTGTGGCTGACCGCCTAGCTCACTATCCTCTATTGGCCCATGTCCCTGCTGATGAGGTCGAATGGTGGGACTCGCCCCCTATTTGGCTCTCTGATACATATCGCTTATCCAAGATTTCGGTTGAGGTGTAAGTTGTTGTTTTTTGGCGTACGTGGTACTCTTTCTTACCCTGGGGTTTTATCTCTTTGGGTTTTCCCCGAGAAGGTTTTAACGAGGCCACTCTTGACATGCCCTGCTCTGTGTAAGCTCCTTCTCATTGAATACAAATTGATCACTTTCTCTCAAAAACTAGCTTCTTCACAACACAAGAGGCCTTTTTCAATCACGCTCAAGAGTCCTTTAACAAAATCTTATTAGTTTTTGTAATTTTTCTAGGTGTTTGTAAAGCTTATTTTAATCACGAGTATTAAATATCACAAAAACATCTATGAAAAAATCACAAAAGCGAAATAGAGTATTTTGGTGGTAAAGCCGCTTATTTCCAATCAGCAACCAAAGCAAACTGCCTGCTCTGGATATTGTTGTGAGCGTTGACCTCTTTATTCTTCGCAGGGCCTCCGCCCTTCGTCTCCAAGCACAAAATCTATAAATAGCACAACACAAAACTCGGATTCATATTCACATAAAGGAAATCAAAACCCAGAAACAAAGATGGACGACAAAGAAGATACCAACAGAGTCGGCGAAATCGAGGAATCGGACCCGAAATCCGACAGGTCATCCCGGAACCCGCATCCGAATCTGAACACCGCGAGGACGAAGGTTCCAGAAGTGGAGGTCTACTTGTATCGGCGATGAAAAGGCCCGATCGACACGTTCAGGACGAGCCTCGTGGGTTGGGACCAGAACCAGCTGGAGGTCCGAGACATTCTCGACAAGTAGCTTCAAATCGCTTTACTCTTTCAATACCGGGTCGGGTCGCGGCGTTCCGATCCGGTTTAACCCCAGGAACGGCAGGTCTATGCTAGCTTATAGATATGGATCTACGGTTCACATTGACGGAGAGCCCAAGGTACTTCATTTATATATCTTTTTTAATTTTATTTTATGAAAACCCAATTTGTGAAATTAATCGAAGTAAATTTCTGTTTGGTTGCCGAGAAAATTTGGTCGCATTGGGTAGAAATAAATGTAACTTTAATGTGGTCATAAGAGATATTGAATTTGAGTGTGACATTTAATGCATAATTTTTCATATTGAGAATGCTTTGTTAAGGAAATTTATATTTTCTTGGTTTGCAGCCGTGATATTCCAACTATATGAAATAAATGAACTAGGCTGCAGGCCACTCTCAATTAGCAATAGGGTAGTTCCTCCATACAATCAGAACCTTTGAAGCAACATATATTACAACAATTTACTTTTCGTTGAATTTGAGCCATCAATTTCCATGCTTATTTTCTGTTCTTTTGTTTACATGACATTCTGTTTGTAGCCTAAGCATGGATATGATTTTGACTATTGAGTTCACCTAGAGAACTTGCCGGATTCATCTTATAGGTTTTGATAATTTATATGACAGACACTGAGTTTTACAACCACATATTCATAAACAGTAGGATTTCACGTAATTTTTCTTGAAGAATTCTTTATAATTTGTTGGAAAATTTGGCATCAAAGTAATAATTTGATCTTTCAAAATAAGACTCCGTCCCTTAATCAAGCCATTAGTCATATTAAATTTCTCCTCAGTATAAGGTATTAAGTAATGACATTCAGTTGGTTAAGAGCATTTATCTGTACACGAGAGGTCTTAGGTTTGATTTCCACTCCCTCAATATCACTTGTGCCGAAAAAATAAAAATAAAAACACAAAATATTGTCCTCCAATTTGGTTGGGTAAATAATAACCTAATAGCTGTATTTAATCTCAGAAGGAGGTTTGAAGTTCAAATTCTCTTTGCAAACATGATGACGTACGATAACAGTCTGAGGTTTAGGTTGAGATATGAAGGGTTATGTATGCCTATTTCAGCGTAGAAATATAAAAGAAAATTTAATGGAAAGACCCAAAAACCAAAATTTGAAGTAATTTTTTATATTTCCATAGGAAATCCAGAGATACTGAAGAGAAGAGATTAGAGGCGAAGATGAACAAGCATGAGAAACAGCTGAGAGAAAGGGAGATGCATTTGAACTGAAGATTTGCTGAATTAAACTCAAATATTGTATAACAAACATCAAAATCCACATATTTGGGACACAAGAAAACAAAAGGTAAAGGAAGAACCAAAGATAGTAGCTCAAGACCACAGAGATTCCATGAAGTTGATTCTCACAAGTCAAAACTAGAAGCATAAATATCATTTCAAAAGTTGAAGCAGTAACTCGTAGTGAGAATCCAAAATGGGTTCCTACAGTTTGGGGTTTCTTGGCGTTCGTCTGACAAAAACAGGACCACTTTCCTAAAAGTCAAAATGGCAAACGTTCCCGTCAAGAACCTGCAGGATTCAATCTTATAGGACTTGATCATTTATATCGTAGACACTGAGTTTTACAACCACATATTCATAAATAAATAAAAAATTAGGATGTCACAGAATTGTTACGGTGGGGTACTTCACCCGTTATGATCAGAAACTGTTGCTATTAGCACAGCACCATAGAAAGTCATGCACCACGTACTTTCTTATGTGTTTTTTTGTCTATTTTCATGAGCAGTCTGTCAGGATATCCTGTATCTTTTGTCTTTCCACCCTTTCATTTCCTTCTAAAGGGCAAATAATTCGATTTTCTCGCATGTAAAGGAATGCTCTAAAGGTGGACTGTTTACAATTTATTTACCACAAGATTCTTTGATATGCATTATGTTGCAGTGACATGTGATATGTCTTTTGGTGCTAGTTTTCCTACTTAATTCTTCTCTAAATGCAGGATTCCTTTATCCAACCGGTGACAAAAATCTTGCTTGGAGTAGCGGTTATAACCGTCTTGATAACCTTGGTTTTGAGAGATCTTCCACAGTGGGTCCAAAAATTGAACATTTCTGGCCTGAATTTTCCTCCTTGGATCATTGCTCTGGTGGTAATAGTTTTTACTCGGATGAGGAAGAGAACCGGAGATTTGCTGAAAAAGTATGGTTGGTGAAAGGCGCCATTGATGCTTTCCCTTGTAAGGCCTTCTTGTTTCTCAAATTTTGTTAAAAAGAATTTGATTCAGTATCAACTGAATTTTGACGATGAAGCAAGTGACGCGCATCTAGACGTCGTCATAACTGTAATTGGCGACAAGCTGCAGTGAAGGATAAATTGATTAGCAACAAACTTGAATTGGGTCTGAAATACCAAACCTCGGAAACAACATTCCTAAGATCATGATGTTGCAACATTAAGATTCAAAACAATAGATTGATAAGTGGGTGATTATCAACCAATGCATATTATAAAATGCATCCAGACGGTAAATTAACTGGTTTATAAATAGTTACATTATTTTGCAATTTTTTCTTCTCTGTATATAGTGATATTGTGGAATATGTTTCTACTACTTGATGCCTTAAATGCCTTTAGCTTATAGGACTTAATAAAACAGCATAAAGAGTGCTAGCTTTTTTCTCTTGGTACTTTGATTCAAGAAGTACATGTTAGTTAAATCTGCCTCAATCGTGAACGTTTGAAGTTTTATTTTCTTCCACATTACAATCTTACTTGGATCTCTATTTTCCTATCAGTCTTCTTATAGCTCCAGAATGATTTCCCTAGCGTGAAAATGCCTGAACAATCACAAAGTCATTAGGGGTAATAACGTCTTTGAATACATTTCATCATCTTTGACATTGGTTATCAGCTGAAGCCTGAAACAGAGGGAGGAGTCTGTCAATTGTATATTTCCAAATTGGCAACCACCACTTTCTTCTTCGATCAATATAGAACGATAATTCTAGAGTTAATGGAAATGTGAGTACATACATTTTGACTAGATTGACACCTACTACTCATTCATAAATCATGCGGTACCCATAAATCTAGTTCTCCAAATATTTTAATAGAAAAAGGTTATTATAGTTTGTTTATTTCAAGATACAACTAGCATTGCCCAATTCTACTCAACATATTGACCACGGTGAAAAATTGTCGTCTGAGATGACGCTCACTAATACGACGGTTTAATGAACCTCTTAGAATTCCATTATGGTACATAAGGTAATTTAAAACTCAGATATGCTAATGTAAGAGAAGACTGCATAATTGAAGGAGATTGCACAAACTATCAAGGAGATGAAGTGAAGCAGACAAAGTAGGAATCCCGACAAAGCAATTGATTGGTTGCAGATACGATCAATTCTCAATGCTAAGCTTATGATTGAAAATTCTTGTTGGCTTATTCCATCCTGCACACAATAGAATAGAGCAATTGAAATAGTCACGTAAGTTGTGTCAAGGTGGAAATTTCATCCGAACCTGGCCAATAAGCAAGCAACTACTTTTGATTAGCTCCAAATCCTATATCAAGACCCCAAATTTGAGTTGACTACTTTTGATCAGCTAGGTCTAATAAAAAAAACAGTTCAGTCTATCTGAACATATTTATTGATTTGTAGTACGTTAACAAATACTTTCTTCAAATGCATAAAATATGGAGCTCTTGCATACATGTATTCATGTATATACTACATGAGTTGATTAATGCTCTGCAGTAGTTTAAGCAGAAATGTATTCATGACAAAAGCACGTGATGAGAGAGAGAGAGAGAGAGGAATTGTCATCCACGAAACAATAAGTGATGAATGGTAAATGTATGGCTAGAAAAGATAGTGATGGGAACCTTACTAATATCAATTGTTTGAAGATTTCATTAGCCTTGCAAGTATTTATGTGCAGACACTTGAGGAGGTGGCGTTTTTAACAAAGGTTGCAAAAATTTAGCTGCTCTTTTAAGAATAACAGTTTTTACTAAACTTTTCAACAATAGCGAAAAATAAGAGGGTGCAAGGCCTAAGTAGGAAATCAAAGTGGTTACCCTCCAAATTAAAAGTCCTATGCATCCCCATTGTTCGCTATTGTTGAAAGATTTGATAAAAACTGCAGTTGTTAAAAAGAGGGAGAAAATCTTTACAAGTTTTGTTAAAAACCATTTGGAAAGAGCATAGCTTTTGCGGCAGAGAGATTTTTGGTGAGAGCTTCCACTTGCATCTGCTGAATTGTGAGAATTGTGAGGAGAAGTAGCTTTTGTGCTGATGTTGATGGAGTGGTTCATCATCATGATTTGGTTGAGTTCTTCCACGTCTTGTTTGTGCACCAAACGGAACCCACACTTCTTTATACCCGAACATATTCTGTCTATGCCCTCCAAATAAACACATTGGAATGAAATCTTCATCCGACTGCATTCTTTGTCGACTACATAATGATATACACAAGATACCCACAGGTGAGGTGACACAAGATGGCCTTTATAAATGGCTTTACTACGCACAAGGGCACCTTCTCCTAGGCGACATTCAATTCGAAAATAGGTACTGGAAAGGTCATGAGGTGGATTTGGGTCATCCACAGGGGCACCTTCTTCAAAGACAGCACATAAAGCAATCCAAATGGACGTGGTACATGGAGGTAGCTCCACAATAAAAGAATCTCCAGGTGTTACAATTTGATTATTGAACCACTCTGGAATTCTACTTCCAGGTGTTACAATTTCGAAACCGATAATATTCTTTGAAATTGGCGAAGTGAGTAAAGGTGCCTGTGTACCATGTATAGGTTAGTAACTTGATTATTTATTTATTAATATAGCAAACAAAGAGAGACAGAGAGACAGAGAGAGAACCTGAAGGAATCCCCAATCCAGAGCAGTCCAAAGCATTCCAAGTATTATACTATCATCGTAGCCATCATTCTCAACCAATCCAGAGCAATTCGAACAACTGAACAAAACACGACTTCTTCCTTTTTTTATGCTCAACTTTGGCAACGTTTTTAAGGAAGTGCAATCTCTATGTACATGTAAATATCGCTGAAGCCTTCATTATCATCCAATCCAAGGTTGAAATGGGGCAATTGTTGAAGCCTTTGGCACCCACTCACCGAAAAAGACCTAAGCTTAGAAAGACATCTAATGCTTGCAGGAAGGCTAACAAAATTGTTTCCACTAAGGTCTAATGTTTCTAAAGAGGACAAGCAGTCAATATCGACGGGAATATCCCCTTCACAAAGACCACAATCACTCACATTCAAATACTTCAAAGACCATAATCCATGTAGCGAACCCAACACAAAAGCCTTTCTTTGGAGGCCCCACCAAAACCTTGATTTATTAAACTCTAGTTTATTAGGCATATAGGTCTTTATAGAGCGCCACAAGTTTTCTGGGTGTTCGTCACCATATGAGCATCCATTCGCCTGGAGATCTTGAAGAGACTTCAAATTACAAATTTCGCTCGGAAGACCCAAGAGATTTTCACAATTCCTTACATCCAGTGAAGTAAGGCCAACAAGACGTCCAATTGATGAAGGTAATTTCTCAATGGGCGTCCCACTCAAAAAATCATTGACAACTTTTTCATTTGTCCTGAAAATTCTGGAATCTTTTTCAATTTTGAGCAATCCTGAAGACTTAAAAATATAAGAGAATCCATTTCTACCTCCCTTGGAAGTCTCTTAACACTTTTGCATCTATTTAGAATTAAAAATCTAAGCCATTTGAGAAATGCAATGGATGGGTGAATCTCAACTAAATTCCAACACCCTTCAAGATTCAACAACCTGAGTTTTGGAATGCCAGTGAAATCTGGGGTTGTTGCCAAGTTTCGAGAGTGACTAAGGTCCATGTATTTCAAATTGGGCAAGTCCTGTACAATATTACATGAAAAATAGTAAATATATCATTAGCAACCAAAAGACTTAAAACTTTTACTCTCTTTTTTCAAAAAATTCGTACGATGGCATATGGTCAGTAATCTTACAATTCTGTCATCCCAGAGCCCAACTAGTTTGCTGTCCTGCATCTCAAGTGAAACAAGTTTATTCGGTTGAAAATTTGATGGGAGATATTTGGAAGAATACCGATTCCATTTCATAATTCTTAAGGAATTAGGAAGAATTCTGGGGATTGACATTGGGGAAATGATCACATTATCAACTTCAAGAAATTTCAGGTTATCATCTTAGAGAATGCTTCACAATTCCAATCCACATTTTCAAGTTCTGCCATGCTTAAGGCAATGCCCTGAATTTTTTTACTTGCCTGTAATAAAGAAAAGAAAAGGAAAAGTTAATTTCACATGTAAGTCTAATATTGAGTTAAAAAGAAATCATATTTCTTTAAAAAAGAAATAATAATAAAAATTGGTACTTTCTACATAACTTCTTACCGTGTTGTTTATCAATACATGAATGATGTCATTACGATGACACAATCGACTACGTCCACTGGGCTCTTCAGGAGACTCTTGACGAACAATTTCAAATGCCATTTCTTGTATCAGATCATGCATCCCAACAATGTAACGTTGTTTGAAATATCAATAGTTAAGAGCGACTTCTCAACGAGAGCATTTATCCCACCACCACGGTCACAACTGTTTAGTATTTCAATTACTTCTTCTTGTCCTTCCCCTTAAGGAAAAATGCAACATCGAGAAATATATTCTTGTTCATCTCATCTAGTCTATCAAAACTAATTTTGAGCAAATCGAAAATTTCTATCTCAGGAATTTTCCGTAGCTTATCCAATTCAATTTTCCATTCATCTCGATCTCTCTTATACACAGAGCATCCCAAAATTTTAAGAGCTAATGGAAGGCCTCCAGCATAATTTACAAAGCACTTGCACAATTCCAAAAACCTTCCTCGGGCTCCAATTTTTTAAAGGCGTTCAGACTAAAGAGCTCAAGAGCCTCATCATCACCTAATCCCTCTACCTTATATGATATCTCCATATCATGCTTTTTAACCAACCGTTCATCTCTAGTTGTAATGATGATTATACTCCCCTTACCAAACCAATCCTTTTCCTTCGCAAATTTCTCTAGTTGGCTTGATGCATTCACATCATCAAGAATGAGAAGAACCTTTTTATTACATAAGCAATTCTTAATGAAATGGGTCCCCCAGTCTTCATTCAAAACTTGAGTAATTTGTTTCTTCAAGATAGGGAAAAGAAGCTGTCTTTGTAGATCAACAAGACGATTACCTTCAGAAGCCTCTCTAACATTAGCAAGAAAGCAGGGAACTTCAAAATGAAAAGAAATGCTTTCATAAACAAGCCTAGCAATGGTGGTCTTGCCAATGCCTCCCATCCCCCATATCCCTACAAAGCGAACATCATCTGTAGGAGCTACAAGCAAATCCATTTGCTCACGTGTAAACTTAATTCCCACTAACTCTGTTGAATCTAACAATTTGAATGTGCAATGCACTTTCCTCCACACCCATTCAACAATCTTTTCAATGAGCTTTCTTTCACACCTACAAGGAAGAACAATGATTAAGTCAAAAGTATAAGCCTAAAGGTACATCAAAGTGAAAATTGGCTTACGAAAAACCCAAGTATATATGGAGAAGTTGCTTACTGATTCTTTGAATCCAACCCAGATAAATTGGCAACTTCTGTTAAAGCAGCTCTCCAGCGCTTCACCTTTTCCATGTTTTCCCTAAACCTTTTCTCATGCTCAGTGAACACGCCTGCAAAACTGCCACTTTGTTTTCGCACATCAGAGGGATCCACATTATAAAACACAGGCAGAACTGTGCCGTTGGATTTCATGCATTGGATAATCTTTGTAAGTTCATCCAAGCACCAGGAAGAAGAAGCATAGTTTGGCGAGAGAACAACGATTGCAAGCCTTGATTCTTGGATTGCTTTGAAGAGCTCAGAAGAAATAGTTGTCCCTCTTTCAAGCTCTGGATCATCCATGAATGTTTTGATGCACCTGTTCTGCAATTCGTGGTATAAATGGGATAAAATGCCATTTCGAGTGTCTACACCCCTGAAACTCAAAAACACATCGTACTTCCAATGAGGAGGAGCCGACTGATCAGCTGAAGGATGAAAAGCAGAGGTTCTTTGGGTGCTCAACGCCATTGGAAATCTGCTGCTTCTGCTGTAAACACCACTCAATGAAACAAGAACTTCGGTAATTAAATATTCAAAAATCGAAACAGTCAACTGAATAAATACGAAGATTATCATAAATGGCTTGAAAAATGAAAAAGATCGAAATTGAAATTTGGTAAATGAAAATTTAGATAGTCGAACATTACTTCTAATTCAGCAGAGAGAAATTCAACATATTATTTAGCACAGCTCATAAGGAACAAAAAGGACCAATTTCAACATTAAAACAAAAATATCATGTCATCTCAAATAATGGGTTGGCATTAAAAAGCCTCATCACTAACTACACCAGTCAACTAAAAACTGCAAATGCTTTATCTTAATGTTACCTGAACAAGGCAATTATATAAAAATGGAGACGAAGCAAGGCAGCAGCTTTAGCTTAATGTTACAAGTTACAACGCCAGAGAATTGGTAAGACAACAACCACAAGATCAGCAAGCCAACAAGAAACTCACAAAAAATACAAGATCAGCAAGAAGCAAAGCTAACAGCCTCAGAAAAGAGATACACAGAGAGAGAGAGAGAGATAAGTAGTGGCGAACAGAGAGAGTGGTGTAGAGTACACGGCTTTTATGGTCAGCTATCTCCAACGTCTCCAATGGGAGTCCAAGTCTTCTTGTGTCAATGAGTCATTTCATTTGCTTTTCAATAAAGAGGAAGGAGGGTCTCATTTCATTTCCGACAAGTTCTTATGAGTGTCAGGCCAATTTTTTTGACTTTTTATTTTTATACTTGCCAGGCCAATTATTTGAATGGTTTCTTTTCTTGGTAAACTGTGGTGAGATTTTTTGTTTTTTATTTTTTGGTCACACGATAGGGAAAAAACTGTGGTGTGGAAGGAAAAGGCAATTACTTGATCTTTTCAGCCGCACAGCGTCTCCCAATGAGAAAGGATGGAAGCAACATACGAAATTTCATGGCAGTTCACTCTCTGAAATGGGTTTTCTCTTTCTTTAGCTTTATTTTTTTTAAGGTTTTTTAGGTTTTAGACATAAAAAAATTTTCACTTTTAGAAAAAGCCAAAGCTTTTTCAAAAAAGACAAAAAAACCGTTCAACTTTCAAATCAAAGACATGCAAAATGTATTGGATTCCTTAGGAAATCTAAAAATAAATAAGGGCATTTTTGTCCATTTTTGCTTCTTTTAAAATTTTTCTCTCTCCTTTTGCTTTTTCTAAAATGTCCCTTTTTTTTTATCACCCTCTCTAGGGTATTGTGATCACTAAAATGAACGGAGCATATCTATGCTTGTATGTAGTAATGTCAGTCTTCTTATAGCGCTCCAAAATGATTTCCCTAGCGTAGTTAACAGATGGAAACCCACAAGAAAAAAGTATGAACATATGGAAAAAAATAATGGAAGAGAGAGAGAGAGAACCGCGTAGTGAACAGGGTCCCTTTCTCTTTACAGTCACATGTCATCTGCAATGGGATGGGGCCGGGCATTATATGAGATTTAATTTGAGGAGAACATGATTTCTCTTCACCCTCACCCAGCTTTACAAAAGAAAGACTTGAACACACCCACCACACACAAAAGAATCGTCGTAAAAATAATTCAAAACCAATTTCTGCATACAAAAAGACAAGCAAATGAGAAGCATGGAAAAATACAAAAGAAAGACTTGAACACACCCACCACACACGAAGTTTGAGAAAACAACAAGAGAAAGGACGACACTTTCCACCCAAAGGAAGGAACATACAATTTCATGAAAGTTTCCTCTTGAAACTATCATATTGTATCCTTGTTTTTAGGCCCGCATATTAACTTTAAGTACTACAAATAACACCAAAATACAAGAAAAACACAATTTGATAATTTCGGAAACTGTGTAGTTACAGTAGTGAGAGCACATGGTTGGGGGGAGGGGAGAGAGAGAGTTGGAAACCGTGTAGTTACAGTAGTGAGAGCACATGGTTTGGGGGAGAGAGAGAGTTGGAAACCGTGTAGTTACAGTAGTGAGAGCACATGGTTTGGGGGAGAGAGAGAGAGAGAGTTGGAAACCGTGTAGTTACAGTAGTGAGAGCACATGGTTGGAGAGAGAGAGAGGTAGTGAGAGCACACGGTTTCTTTTGCTTTTCAATGAAGAGTAAGTAGTTTAGGACAATTCTTTTGACTGTCAGGCCAATTATTTCAATAGGTGCTTTCTTGGTAAATCGATCAATCAGTAATATCGACATCTAGTTAAAGCATCCTTTCGGTTTTTTTTTTTTTTTTTTTTTTTTTTTTTTTTTTTTTTTTTTTCTTTTTGCCTAAATTTTGCAAATTTATGCAAATTCTAGTCATAACTTTAATTGAATCCCTTGATCATATTATGCAGGATATGTAATTAGGGTACAACAATTCTGGTCCATTTTACAAGATTTTGGCATGAAATCCCCAGTCATGTCCCAATGGCATTAGGTTTTACCTTCTTTTCTTTTGTTGAAGGATTCTTTACCATATGTTGGAAAATTTGGCATCATAGTAATGATTTGATCTTTCAAAATAACACTAATGGCCTTAATCAAGCAATTAGTCATTTTAAATTTCTTCTCAGTATAATATATTAAATAATAACCTTACAGTTGCTCAAGAGCATTATCGCTACACCAGAGGTCTTACGTTCAATTTCTCTTCCACCAATATCACTTATATATTAAAAAATAATAATTAAAAAAAGCACAAAATATTGTCCTCCCATTTGGTTAGGTAAATAATAATCTTATAGATGTATTTAATCTAAAGATGACGTTTGAAGTTCAAATTCTCTTTGCATATGTTAGTAGCACGACTCATCATAGTGAGGCAACTCATACATTCACACAAAAGTTTTGCATACATGATGATGTACGATAACAGTTTGAGGTTTAGTTTGAGATATAAAGGGGTATGCCAATTTCAGCTTACAAAAATAAAATAAAATTTGCTGGAAAGACCCAAAAGAAAAAAACCAAGATGTGAAGTAATTTTGGACAAACATGAGAAACAGCTGAGAGAAAGGGAGATGACAATGCATTTGAACTGAAGATTTGCTGAATTAAACTCGAATATTGTATAATAAACATGAAAATCCACATACTTGGGACACAAGAAAACAAAAGCTAAAGGAAGAACCAAAGATAGTAGCTTAAGACCACATAAGTAACTCTTACCCAAAAGTTAATTTAAAGATTCCATGAAGTTGATTCTCACAAGTCAAATCTAGAAGCATCGATTCCGTTTCGAAAGTTGAAGCAATAACTCATGGTGAGACAATCCAAAATGGGGTTCCTACAGTTTGAGGTTTCTTGGAGTTCATCTGACAAAAACAGGACTACTTTCCTCAAAGTCAAAATGGCAAGAGTCAAAGCATGCCTAAACAGAAATAACTTAGCATACAGCCTGTACAAACAATGGCTATGAATCGGGAGCATAAAAAATGAAAAATTTAGGCAGGCTAGCATTAAAGGTGAATTGCTCAAATAAATTCAGCATGCACAACCCCCTCTTTGATCAGACTCTGAAACAGCCTCCGGGATGCCTTGTAAAGATCTATAAGTAAAAAGGAAATGGGAAAAAAAGAGATAAAACATCATGTTTAAATGGGTCATAAATACATCTCATAGCAAGCTCCAGAATCTGAAAATAACAGCACGCAGCAATAATAGCAGAAAGACAGAAACATTCTAGATGGAAAGGCGAGGGACTTTGTAAGGTGACCGAAAGGTGGGGACATTGTACGACGATGGAAAAGCAGCAGCGTTGTAGTGCGATGGAAAGTTTGAGACACTTAGAGCGATGAAAAGTTGGGGACACTGTAAGGTTATGGATAAGGTATTGATCTAAACAACACAGCCAGTTGCAAAGATCTTTAGAGGTGAATGATTCATGTTCGCTACTTATCTAATTCTTAACTATAAACTGTTATAACAGCATCCTAGAAGATCTCAAATTAAGTTTTAAGGAGAATATTTCACTATGTTTATGTGCTATCTATCGACTGTGCGCAAATGATTCCAAAAAACAGCTGATTCTCATTCTCTGAATCTGGAGTAGCTGATGAAACTAAGTATATTCTAAAAACAGTGAAATAGAACCACAGACATTAACAAGAAGACAACCACAGACATCATGTAACACTAGCTCAGACAACCACATACAAAATTGAGTTTCGTATTATAACACAGCCATCTCATTTGGCAAATTGTTAAGTTCAACACTATACAAGTCTGGAAAGTAAAATACATATGAAAAAGAGCAAACCAAAGGATTACAAAGGAAAAATAACTAGATAATAGCAAAGGATATCATTATAATTTAATCCACACATATCTTTTTGAGGTGAAGACTGATACCCGTGGAAAAACTTACTTGTTCATGACGCCTCCATTGACGGAATCACAATAATGCTTCATCCATCTCATGAACTCCAAATAATCTAGAGGCCTTCCTTTCACATGCTTTCTCACCTCAGTGTGCTAAAAATCCCCAAACACATACAGAATACCAAAAGAAGAGTAAAGAGATAAATTATTTAAAGGAATTTTACGACAGAAATTAAAGAGAATGAAAATGCAAACTTACCGTACGCTGGCCAGGAATAATTGTTGAAACATGACCCAGTTTAAGCTGCTTTTCTTCTCTGCTCCGCAATGAATATTCAAATGATCCATTATTTGAGCCAGCACATGGAAAATAGCAACTTCTAGCAGCGAAGTAAGCATGATTTGTATCGGCGAACATTTAAAAAATGAAAATTTAAGGAAAACGTTACAGTATACCAGTGACATTCATTTAAGAAAAAAGAAAACATCAGGAAGCTTTTTCATCTCTCTCTATCCCTCTCTCTTGCTTGCTAGCTATGGCTTTTACCATTATTTTCTTGAGCTGATGAGGTGCTTGAGTGTCTCCAAACCCTATTCAAAAGACAGAGGAAATAACAATGTAATCCTATACACTAAGAACAAAACAGAGCAGTAAAGATTAATCCATATGAAGCAAGCATTGACTCAAAATTCATTAATTAGTCACCTCCTCTGCAAATGCTTCGCCCAAAGAGCAATATAACTCTGCACAAATCACAGCCCAACCCAGTTTTGTTAGGGCAATTTGCAGTGATCACAGTGGGTTCCCCAACCTTCTCTGCCTTGCTAATTACCACAACATCCTGCAAAGCTCAGCGGCAATGGAGAAAGTGTGAGCCAAAACGCACTGCATGCCAAAGTCAACAAAATTTCCTATCCATGGACTCACTGCAACCTTCTCTGCCTTCCTTTCTTTTCTCTCTGTGTTTTCCTAAAAGACTAAAGTGCAAATATGATCAAGTTTTCCACTTGACAAATTACTACAAGCAAAATGTGACATTAATAAATGCAATTAGATCGATATTTTGACCAAAATTTAAGATACTCAAACTCAAGTAAATCCAAAACTCAGTAAGAGACTTGGACTTGAAAAATCTAACAAACCCAAAATTGAAAGGTAGTCCCAAGAAAGGATGAAAAGTACTTCCTATCTCTTAGCTTGAGCCTTGAAATATAAATATCAATTAAACTAGGTATACCAACTTCATATCTCTGTTTTACAGACCAACAAAGTATGAAAAATGTACTAAAACCACAAGAAAAAAAAGGTAACAACAGCTTTGGTGGTCCAAATGCATTAAAATCTGTGATAAAATCCTTCATATCTTTTAGCTGGAAAGGGAAGAATAAATTAAACTAGAGTCGTTGTCAAATTATTAAATAAAGATCAAAACCAAATTGTACCAACTTGAGATCTCTGTTTTACACAAGAGAGTCGGGTCAAAGAAAAAGAAAGGTGAAGGAAATTACCCGAACAACACCCTCCCTAGCTGACAAGACAAGTGTGGGAACCAATTAAATCAAAACCCTAGGTCAAATAATTCCTTCCATTTGGGGATTATTTGACCTAATTGGGAATTACTCAACCTAATTGGGAGTTACTCAATTTAATTGGGAGTTACCCGATTAAATTGAGAATTACCTAATTAAGTTGGGAATTGATTTGATTCCTACCCCAATTCCCAATTAAATGAGGAGTTACCTAATTAAATTAGGATTTGATCTGATACCTACCACAATTAGGGATTTGATTTACCCTAATAAATCAAATCCCTAATTAATCAAATCAATTCCAAATAGGGGAGAAATAATTCCCTTCCATCTATGGAATTATTCCTCTGAAACCCTAGCCTCCGAGACCACTATAAAAGGATGGCCACACACAAAGGTCAAGGTACGTCTAAATTCCTACTGAAACTTTGCAGAAATTATTTCTCACAAACCCTAGCCACCACTTTCTTTCTCTCTCTAACACAAGGCTCCGGCCACCACACACGGCTCCGGCCACCCGGTTTTCCTTGAAATACCCTACCTAACTTAGGCATCGGAGGGCCTTTGGCCAACACCCCCCGGGTGTGGTCCTTTTACCCCGATCTGTTTTGCAGGGAGAAAGAGAAGTGGAGAAGACGAAGGAATCTTAGACGAATATTCTCGTGAGGAAATTTGTACAAACAAATTGGTGCTTTCATTGAGAGCACGAGATATATTCAAAGCGTGCTCCAAATCCATCTTTCACACATTTTTTCAAACAACCATGGTTGATACAAGACGTACGAAGAGTAACGCCACCACGACGGGCCCATCTCATGGTTTCGTGGTGGAAACCTCAATGCAACAACACGGAATCATGGCTGCCAACGCCTTGCAGCCGTCTTCTAGTGCTTTGCAGCTGCCTTCAGCTGCTGGAATTGCAGAACAGCCACCACATGACCTTGGGACCTCTATAGCCTTGCAGTCGCCAGCGCCGATTACCGGAGCTACTCTGCCTCGCTGTCCTGCCGTTGGAGCACAGTAACAGCCACACCACTTAACTACCGGACTTGCTGCACAGCCCCATGGTTATTCTGACGTCGTCCCAGTCTTGGAGCAGATCCATTCTCTCCCTCCTCTGCGATCACACTTGACATATGCACTTGTGTACGCGTCTAATGGAGCCCTAGCCCACATGTCATTGGGCCCGATGCACACCACTCCACTTGACCCGCGCAGTCAGGTGGACCTTAACTCACGGGTTGATCAACTCACATAGAAGGTCGATGATCAAAACAACCTAATTTGCCAACTACTCAGGCAGATCAACTTGAATCAAGGCCCCAACCTTGGACCCCATGACGAGGAGAGGAGGGCACACGAGCATGCTGGCGAGCAGTTCGAGAGGTCCCAGGCTGGTCAGACAGGGGTAAACCCGCAGGGGAGAGAGCGAGATCGTGCAGACAAGACGCAGACAGCTGCGAGCCGTACTCTGAGCCGTTCGAGGTTAGGTCCCAGGACCAATGTGCTCGAGAGGCTAGGCCCACAATCCAATGTTCGTGCTTGCTTAGGTCCACAAGGAGCTCGAGTTCGTGAGAGGTTGCGGCGACAAGCTGTGGAGGGATCTTCCCAAACTCAACCTTCTCTCCTGCCCCACGGGTAGGGCAACCAAGGGGATCGACCCTTGGGAGCTGGAGAAAAAGTTAGCCAATCACGCTCGAGGCACCGAAGACGTCGACCTGAACGACCTTCCTTGCGAGCAGAGGGTGACGATCGACGCCCACCAGCCCGCTCGAGGACCAACACGCGGCGACAAGCTACAGAGGAATCCTCACAAGCTCAATCTCCTAATTTGCCTCACGGGCAGAGCACCCAAGGGGATCGACCCTTGGGAACCGAGGAAGAAGTTAGCCAGTCGCGCTCAAGGCACCAAAGATGTCGGCCCGAGACTCCAACCCTGCGAGCAGAGGATGTCGCAAAGCTAGTAAATGACCAACTCCGAGGTCTCTGACTCAAAGGAAGCACGGAGGAGGCCCTGTGCAAGGAAATTGATCGAGTTGACTGCTCGCCCTTTACCGACGAGGTGGAACGAGCTCCGCCGCCGAAGCGGTTTACAACGCCATCCATCACTCCATTCAAGGGGGACTCTGACCCTGAGAGCCATTTGAGGCACTTCAAAAGCGCCATGATCCTGTACAAGGCAGACGACGCCCTGATGTGCAAAGTGTTCGCGATGACTCTGCGATGAGCAGCTCAGGATTGGTTCCACACTCTACCGTCTGCGTCAATAGGCAACTTCAAGGAGTTCGCCATCATTTTCACAAAGGAGTACACCTCCTACAAGATGGTCAGAAAGCATGCAGACCACCTGTTCAACCTGCACAAGAAGCCAGACGAGTCTCTACGAGACTACCTGAGATAGTTTAAGGCTGAGAAGGCAACCATCATAGGATGCAACGACCAAGTTGCATCCTCATCTTTCAAAAGGGCTTGCCAACTGAGCACGAGCTATACCGGGAGCTAGCCATAACTCCAAGTCAAACCTTGGCACAAGTGTTCGCGACAGCAAAACGCTACGCACTTTGGGACGATGATCGTATCGCCGCAAAGAAAGCTAGCAAGCAAGTTGACCACCCGACGAAGCAGGCAAGCCAAAAGAGCAACAAGTTCGAGCAAAAAACCCGAGATAAGCGCAGATCGCGGCCCCAAGAGGGAAGCTTAGAAACAGGGACCTTCACTGAGTTCGCTATCCCAATCCACCAGATCCTAGCTCAAGTGAAGGATAAGCCGTGGGTGAGGAGACCACCACCCATGAAGGGAGACCCCTCTAAAAGAGACACCAGTAAATACTACGCATTCCACGGGGAGCACGGTCATTACACCAACAACTGCAACGCTTAGAAAAAGCACCTTGAGGAGCTGGTCAGAGAAGACCATTGCACAGAGTTCGTTGCAAAGAAGGCCATTCAGCAGATCGAGGATCGTGATGCAGCTGCCAAGGAACCTCCCCAAAAGGTCATTCGAATCAACACCATTCTAGCCAACTCCCAAGAGTCCGGGCTGACCACCAAGGAGCGCAAGAGAAAGATCGCTCAGGCAACTTATGTCTCCCAAGTCACAACAGGAGTACCAGCCATTGTGGATACGCCCATCATCGGCTTCTAGAAGAAGGACTTGATCGGGATTGACCTGCCACATAATGACGCCCTAGTCATCTGCATCCAAATTGAACAAGCTGTGATCGAGCGAGTTCATGTAGATAAGGGCAGTGCAGCCAACATCCTGCAACAATCTGTTATCCAACAGATGGGGTTCGAGCCCAAGATTAGCAAACTTGTCAGATCGCTCACCAGCTTCAATGGGGTCACATCAATCACTGTTGGAACGATCGACCTGGATGTCCACTCACCCCTAGTGGTCTGTTTGCAAATCTTCATGGTCATCGACGAGGTTTCCCCCTACAACGGAATCTTGGGCCGACCGTGGACCAGCAAGATCGAAGCCATCACATCTGCTCTACATCAGAAGATCCGTTATCCCATCCCTGGGGGCGGGATCAGGCAGATCAACAGTGACCAAGCCATGGCAAGGAGATGCACAGCCCAAGGGCTCAAGAAGAGCAAGCAGCTGCAGTTCACACCAGTAATGCAATCTGCCAACGAGGCAGGAAGAGCTCATAGCAAACAAGTAAACCCGAAAGGGAAGGAAGTTGCTGCCTCACAATAGCAGTTAAGGAACCAGGATCAAGGTGAGGGAATCCGCCCGGAAGACTCCCCTGAAAAGGGTTGGAAGCCTGAGGATGACGTTGAGTTAGTACCCCCTGATCCTGGCCAGCCAGACAAAGAGGCGCAGATCGGCTCGTGCCAGAATCCAAACAAGAAGGATCGAGACGAGGGAATCCGCCCGGAAGGCTCCCTTGAAGAAGGTTGGAAGCCTGAGAAAGACGTTAAGTTAGTACCCCCCGATCCTGATCAGCCAGAGAAGGAGGCGCAGATCGGCTCGCGCTAGAATTCAAACAAGAAGGATCGAGATGAGGGAATCCGCCCGGAAGGCTCCCTTGAAGAAGGTTGGAAGCCTGAGGAAGACGTTGAGTTAGTACCCCTCGATCCTCACCAGCCAGACAAGAAAGAACGGATCGGCTCGCGCCTAAGCCCAGAGAGAAGATGGAGCTGACCATCTTCCTCCAGAACAACAAAGACATGTTCGCGTGGTCACCATCTGACATGCCCGGCATTGACCCAAACATCATCTGCCACCGGCTCCATGTCAACCCTGCTGGCAAGCCCATGGTGCAGAAGAGACGCAACTTTGCTCCTGAGCGGGTCGCGATCATTGAAGCCGAGATCGACAAGCTCCTAGCTATCGGTTTCATTGAAGAGGTCTCCCACTCGGAATGGCTGGCCAACGTTGTTCTAGTGGCGAAACAAGAAAAGGGAAAATGGAGAATATGTGTTGATTACACCGACCTCAACAAAGCATGCCCTAAAGACAACTTCCCATTGCGGAGAATCGACCAGCTCGTGGATTCAACTTCCGGCAACCAGCTGCTCAACTTCATGGATGCTTACTCCGGCTATAATCAAATTATGATGTACGATGATGACAAGGCGAAGACCTCTTTCATCATCGAAAGAGGGACCTACTGCTACAAGGTCATGCCCTTTGGGCTGAAGAACGCCAGAGCAACCTACCAAAGGCTCGTGAATAAAATTTTCAAGCAGCAGATTGGCAGAACCATGGAGGTGTACGTGGACGATATGCTGGTTAAAGCCCCCAAGCGAGCAGACCACCTCAAAAACCTCACCGAGGCGTTCAGCTTGCTCCGCCAATATCGCATGAAGCTAAATCCAAGTAAATGCACGTTCGGTGTATCGTCTGGCCGGTTCCTGGGGTACTTAGTGACGCAACGAGGTATCAAGGCACACCCGCGCCAAATCAAAGCCATTCTCGAGATGAAGTCGCCTTCCACAGTGAAGGAAATACAAAACTTGACGGGCAGAGCAGCGGCCCTTAACAGATTCCTCTCAAAATCTACCGACAAGTGCATACCATTCTTCAAAGCTTTAAAGAAAGGACAAAAAGACAAATGGGACGAAGAGTGCGAAGTAGCTTTCTAAAATCTAAAGACCTACCTTACTTCACCTCCCCTGCTCTCAAAGCCAGTTCCTGATGAAGACTTGTTCGTGTACCTGGCAGTGTCCAACTCCGCCATCAGCTCAGCTCTCATCTGAGAAGAACTTGGGGCCCAACATCCGATATTCTACACATCTAAAGCTCTCCTGGATGCAGAGACTCGCTACCCGAAATTGGATAACCTCATTTTGGCCCTTGTGGTTTCTGCGAGAAAGCTGCGATCTTATTACCAAGCTCACCAATTCATCGTCATGACCGACTTTCCTTTGAGATCAATCCTCCACAGCCCTGATGCTTCTCAGCGACTCATGAAGTGGGCTATAGAGCTAAGCCAATACGACCTCCTCTACCGGCCGAAGACTGCAATAAAAGCTCAAGCCTTAGCAGACTTTGTTGCAGAATTCACACCATCAGCCAAAGAAGAGAAGCTGGTCAGCAAAAAGAAGGAAAGTTCGAGAGCAGACAAGACCTCCACTGACCCTGACCAACCCAGAGACATGTGGCAGTTGCGCGTAGACGGAGCGTCGAACAAGAAAGGAGCTGGAGCAGGCATCGTCATCATCACCCCGGATGGAACCCTACTAGAGCAAGCTATCACGCTTGGCTTCCAAGCTTCAAACAACGAGGCAGAGTACAAGGCATTGCTCGCTGGCTTGTGCTTGGCAAAGGAGCTATCAATCAAAAAGTTAGCCATCTACTCAGATTCCCAGCTGATCACAAGTCAAGCCTTAGGAGAGTACATGGTGAAGCACCCGAGGATGATCTTATACCTTGAAAAAGTCCAAGAGTTGTTAAAGGCGTTTCCCACCTTCACCATCCAGCAAGTGCCCCGAGCAGAGAACGTGCACGCAGATGCACTGGCAAGCTTAGGATCGGCGCTGGATACCCAGTTCAGACGCTCCATCCCGGTCGAGCACCTCAACCAGCCTAGCATAGAAGAGGCAGAGCAGCCGGACCTGATGCAGATCGATGAGGATCCTAGCTGGCAAGACCCCATCATTGACTATCTAGTGAATGAAAACCTGCCCGAGTATAAGTCCGAGGCCAGAAAAGTCAAGCAGAAGGCTGCAAGATACTACATGAAAAGCGACATGCTTATCCGCAGATCATACTCCGGGCCTCATCTCACTTGCATCAAGTACCCGCAAACGCTCGAGGTTCTCTGCAAGATACACGACGGTGAATGTGGAAATCGCGCTGGGGGCAGATCGCTTGCTCAGAAGGCTCTCAACATTGGCTATTTCTGACCTACCATACGCCAAGACTCCACGGAGTATGCTTGAAGATGTGATCGATGCCAACGCTACAAGCCAGTCCCTGACCTCCCCGCTGAGGAATACCATCTGCAAAACAGTCCATGGCCATTCATGCAGTGGGTCATTGACTTGGTGGGACCTATGCTGACGGCACCTGCCAATAAAGAGATGATGATCGTTGCCACTGATTACTTCACCAAATGGATCGAGGCCGAGGATTTATCTTCTACCAAGGAAGCTGATGTTGAACGGTTCATCTGGAAGAACATTATTTGCAGATTCAGTTGCCTGCAATCGATAGTCACCGACAACGGTACACAGATCGTGGGCAGGCAGACCACCGCATTCCTTGCGAAGTATGGCATCAAACAGCACCTGTCAACTCCCAGATACCCGCAAGGCAATGGCCAAGCAGAGGCATCCAACAAGATCGTGCTGGACTGCCTAAAGGAAAGACTGGAAGGCGCAGAAGTAAAATGGGTCGACAGGCTGCCAAGAGTCCTATGGGCTTATCGCACAACCAAAAGGAGATCAAACGGAGAGACACCATTTTCCCTGGCCTATGGGAACAGAAGCAATCATTCCCCCACACATCACAATCCCTTCCATGAGTATCGAGGTGGGCAGTCTTGACCAAAACTGCAAGTAGATGAAAGTCAACCTTGATCTGCTCGAAGAGGAACGAGAAAATGTCATTGTGCGAGTTGCAGCTTACCAGCAACAGCTCACATCTTGCTACAATAAGAAGGCCATTGTTTGAGTTGCAACTTACCAGCAAAAGCTTACGCCTTACCATAGCAAAAAGACCATTGTTCGAGCAGCAGCATACCATCAACAGCTGGCATCTTACAACAACAAGACCATTGTTCGAGTTGCAGCTTACCAGCTCGACTCCAAGTAGGCGATGGGCCTCCTTCATCTCCATTGCAGACAAGCTGCTCCACAAAGCACGAACTCAATGGAGTCTTTCTCGAGCATTATGTCCCTGACATATGCTCGCAGGCGACAAGCCTCATCTCCATTGCAGACAAGCTGCTCCACGAAGCACGAACTCAATGGAGTATTTTTCGAGCATTGTGTCCCTGACATACGCTCGCAGGCGACAAGCCTCATCTCCATTGCAGACAAGCTGCTACACGAAGCACGAACTCAATGGAGTCTTTTTCGAGCATTGTGTCCCTGACATACGCTCGCAGGCGACAAGCCTCATCTCCATTGCAGACAGGCTGTTTCACGAAGCACAAACTCAATGGAGTCTTTTTTCGAGCATTGTGTCCCTGACATACGCTCGCAGGCGACAAGCCTCATCTCCATTGCAGACAGGCTGTTTCACGAAGCACAAACTTAATGGAATCTTTTTTCGAGCATTGTGTCCTTGACATACGCTCGTAGGCGACAAGCCACATCTTCATTGCAGACAGGCTGCTTCACGAAGCACAAACTCAATGGAGTCTTTTTCGAGCATTATGTCCCTGACATACGCTCACAGGCAACAAGCCTCATCTCCATTGCAGACAAGCTGCTCCTCGAAGCACAAACTCAATGGAGTCTTTTTCGAGTATTATGTCCCCGACATATGCTCTCAGGCGACAAGCCTCACCTCCACTGAAGACAAGCTACTCCTCGAGTACAAACTTCATGGAGTCTTTTCAAGCGTCATGTCCCTGACATATGTACACAAGCGACGAGCCTTACCTCCATTGTGGGCAAGCTACTTCACGAGTACAAACTCAATGGAATCTCTTTCAAGTGCTATGTCTCCAGACGTACACTTACAAGATACAATGAGAATTGAAGTTTGAAAGACAACTGAAAATTCCATAACAAAGCAGCCAACCAGCACCACCTACTCAACGGCCTCACCTGCCTACTCCTTCGCATATGGTTTAGCCTTATCAGCTACGCCACCTTGAGAGTTGTCTTCCTCCAATGCAGCTTCATCTGCTATCTGCTCTTCAACTGCTTCTGCATCCACAACATTGCTCTGCTCACTTTGAGCAGGGGCAGGTCAAGATAAAGCTGCTTACCGTCTTCATGTTCGAGAGGGCAACAAGGAGAAGCACTATTCCTGCAATCCAAGTATCCCAGCTTGTACGCATTAGCAACGATCTCATGCTTGGATGCCTCCGTGGCTTCAACGTGAGTGTCGAACTTGACCAGCAGAGCTATCACCAACTTCTGGATCGGCAGTTCGCAACTTAAGGACTCTTTGCTCGAGCAGAGGACTTTTTAGCTCTCTTGGCCGAAACTCGCAACATTAAGTCAGCTTCGTGCTTGACTATTCGTGGCTTTGCAGACGAGTCGTGATTGCTAGACATATGTACAGTCCTCTCAGTTTGATCCCAAGATCGGCACAAGCAACTGATCTTCTTACTGTTCGTGCTGACGAAGTGCTTGATCCTGGCAGATGAAGAAGCAACTCCCATAGGGACATTCCCAGCAAACGAGACCCCATTACAGAAGACTTGCTCGTGGAAGAATGAGGAAGCTTGGTCGAGGACTTCTCCTGCTCAACTGGCAGATCATCTAGGTCCGAGCCATGCAGCTCCCATCTTTCAACATCTTCGGCTGGGGGCAGACCATCAGCCTCCTTCTGATGTTCACTCAGCAACCAGCACAATCCACAGAACCTGGCAAGGATGTTTAAAGCTTGATGAACATTGATCGTGTTCGGGCCTAGATTGAGCTTCTTGTGGATGTCATTTTCTACAAGCAGAAGACAGAAGTTAGTCAGACACACAGTAAAGAATTCCATGGCTACTGTAGCAGATCAAAGGGATGCAACTTACCATCACAGTAGGTGAGAGGAACGAGCGGACCGTCGCCAACCTCCCCTACCCATCTATCGCTGACTTCCAACATGTCCGTGCTCCACACATGATCGCCTTCACTCATACAGTTCCTAGTTCGTGACACAAAAAGAAGGAATTGAAGCAGTTTGGATCAACCACAAATAAGCCGACCCAAACTGCCACCTGCTCCAGCAGCAGGCCGGCTCGCCTCCAACCCAGTTACAACTGGACAACCCAAGTTAAAAGACCAAAGTGGCAAGTCAAAGACCTTCTCCACGCAGGAGCCCAAATCAAAGAAGGAAGCCCAGTTACAGCTGGACAGCCCAACAGATAATTCACATCTCCTACATGCTGCCACACGCATTTGTGGGAACCAATTAAATCAAAACCCTAGGTCAAATAATTCCTTCCATTTGGGGATTATTTGATCTAATTGGGAATTACTCAACCTAATTGGGAGTTACTCAATTTAATTGGGAGTTACCCGATTAAATTGAGAATTACCTAATTAAGTTGGGAATTGATTTGATTCCTACCCCAATTCCCAATTAAATGAGGAGTTACCTAATTAAATTAGGATTTGATCTGATACCTACCACAATTAGGGATTTGATTTACCCTAATTAATCAAATCAATTCCAAATAGGGGAGGAATAATTCCCTTCCATCTATGGAATTATTCCTCTGAAACCCTAGCCTCCGAGACCACTATAAAAGGATGGCCACACACAAAGGTCAATGTACGTCTAAATTCCTACTGAAACTCTGCAAAAATTATTTCTCACAAACCCTAGCCACCACTTTCTTTCTCTCTCTAACACAAGGCTCCGGCCACCACACACGGCTCCGGCCACCCGGTTTTCCTTGAAATACCTTACCTAACTTAGGCATCGGAGGGCCTTTGGCCAACACCCCCCGGGTGTGGTCCTTTTACCCCGATATGTTTTGCAGGGAGAAAGAGAAGTGGAGAAGACGAAGGAATCTTAGACGAATATTCTCGTGAGGAAATTTGTACAAACAACAAGAATATCTGAACAAGAAACAGCTCCAGGGCACTCCCTCTCCAGTGCTTCTTTAATTTCTTCAATGTACCTAAAGTTTCTCATCCCAAAGCTCATGGTCTGAAAAATAGCCAAAAGTAAAAGAATTAAAACAGGGGAATAAGTACTAATCCATTGGATAAAACATAATTCGGCTCCATATAGGTTTCAAAAACAAACAAAACTAAAAACCTGAAGGGTTAAATTTTGTTATCTTTTATGTTAAATGCATAGGCAAAATGATATTTTGTATTATATTATTTTCCACTATCTAAATATTCCTTTCACTCAAAAAATAAAAATAAAAACTAAAACACCTTCTTCCTATCCTCGCCATCGCATGAAGGGTGGGGGTGTCATTGTGGGAGCACCATTAGTTGTCTCCGGGTTGGTGGGTTAATTGACTCGGTGTTGGGTGGAAGTTGTCCATGGCTTTGTTGGAATATTTAGATGGTAGAAATTAAAAATAATACAAAAATACTATTTTGCCCCTACATTTAATAGAAAAAGTTAATAAAAATACCATTTTATGACTTAGACATTGAGAATAAATAGCTTATTGAGAATGCTATAGTTCATAAGCTTGTAGATCTTGAGGTGCAAAATTCATGTGAACCTGGCTAATAAGCACGCAACTACTTTTCATCCCCTCCCGTTGATAAAAAAATCATGCAACAAGCTTTGCTTGGAGGAGGTGTTGTTCCCTCAGTTTGTTTGTATTTGCTTCCTGCTTACTTTCCAATGAATTATCGTCTTGACCAAAAAGAAAAAAAGACCCCATATTTGAGTTGGCCACAGGTACAGGGCACAATTGGCTGGCTTCAGCAGCAGTCTTGTTATTATAAACTACACATGTAATTGAATGCAGAAAAAAAAATATTACAACATGTTCCATTTATGAGTGATTGGAGCAAAGTAAATCAACATATGATTAATCAACAAAAGACTATTTTCTTTTCTTCGGTAATAATAAACTATAGACTTTAATTTCAGGCATTATATTAAGCTTCCAAAATTAAAGTTAATTACGTTGATTTAACCCAAAAAGAAAAAATCAAAATACTCTAAAATTTAAACCTTTTTCTCTTCCTTTTTTAAATTTTAAGTCAACTTCCTCTGTTTCCTCCTCTGTTTCTTTGTTTCTTTAATAAATTAAATATATTTGACACCAAAAAAAATAAGTATATAATTATAATGCTACATTATTAAACATTCGAAATGCATATATCATTCACACAAATTACAATTAAACTAGTGGACCCAAACAGATTCTTATAACCAGGGGCGAAACTAGCATATGGGCTGGAGTGGGCTCTAGCCCAGGGACCCTTTTTTAAAAATAAAAAAGAATTAGATGTGGTTGTGCTTAATTTATGAGGGCCAGCGTTACGTGGCCAATGCATTGGACCATTGGTGGCTGGCTGCTGTTGTCTTTTTATTATTTTATTATTATTTTAAGTTGTGTGGTCTATTTCCTATTCAATAAAGTATTCTAGTTTCCCATTGAATAAAGTATCCTAGTATGATATGATGAAGTATCCTATTCCTAGCCTAGTTTGTCCTACGCAACTTTATAATTATCTTAGTCAGTCTAATAAAAAAAGAAGAAGAAGATATTCATATTTATGAAACTTAGCCCTAGCCCTAGCAGTCCCAAAAGAATATCTGCAGCGTTTTGTATTCTGTGCTACCAAAGTCAAGTTCATCGTCAACAAGCGTAATAAAGGTATCTAACTCTCCACAATCTCGAATTATTATTATTTTTTCATTGATTTGTTTAGTATAAAGTAAATTGTTCTGTTTTTTATATGTGTTATTAGATTATAATGTCACATCAGAACCAAGCAAGTAAAAGAGCAAAAACTATTGATTCATTCTTCAAGAAAAAAAATGATGGTGATAAATTAGAAAATGACAAGGCTTCTACATTCAGTGACAAGGCTTCACCATCAATTGAGTCACCTCATCACACATCTCCCCTAGTTGAACCTAACCAGTTTGATATTGCTTTTTTGGAACGAGACCCTGGGAAACGTATTCAAATATCTGAATACCCTATTAATCAACATGATGAGGTTCGACGTGCTTATATCAAAGTTGGCCTTTACCAACCAAAATTATCAGAATATCCAAGGTCTCAGTTTGGGTCGCAATATCGTGGATTTCAATATTCTTGGTTCTCTCCATTTCCATGGTTAGAATATTCCCCTTAAGAAGATAAAGTCTATTGTTTTCCTTGTTTTGTTTTTGGTAATGGTCGTCCTGCATTAACTACTGAGGGTTTTAATAATTGGAAAAGAGTTAATGACGGAAAGAATTGTGTATTTTTTACTCATGTTGGAGGTCCATCTTCATCGCATAATACTTGTGAAAGATGTATGGAGGATTTGATGAACCCATCTCACCATGTCGACAAAGTTATTAATCGACAATCAAAGGAAGACATTTTGAAAAACCGGTTACGGCTCAAGACAACGATAGAGTGTGTTCGGTGGATTACATATCAGGCATGTGCTTTTAGGGGTCATGATGAATCTTTGGATTCAAAAAATCGTGGAAATTTTATTGAAATGGTCAAGCATACAGCAAAGTTTAATGATGAGGTGGCTGGAGTTGTTTTAGAGAATGCCCCAGGAAATGCAAAATATACCTCACCCAAGATTCGAAAGGAGATTTTAAATATTCTTGCAAACAAAGTGAGAAAAAAAATTCGTGAAGAAGTTGGGCATGCTGCTTTTTGTATCCTTGTTGATGAATCACAAGATACGTCAAATAGAGAGCAAATGGCTATTGTTGTAAGATTTGTTGATAATGATGGTTTTCTACGTGAACGTTTTTTTGACATTATGTGGGTTGAAGACACTACTGCGTCAACACTTCAAAAAGAGATCAAGAAAGTACTTGATCTCCATGAATTATGTATTGACAAGATGAGAGGTCAAGGATATGATGGTGCTAGTAATATGCGGGGTGCATGGAATGGGCTACAAGCATTATTTCTTAAAGATTGCCCATATGCATTTTATGTACACTGTTTTGCTCATCAACTACAGTTGGCATTAGTTTCAGCATCAAAAGAAGTAGCTACAATTTGGTTATTCTTTTCATCATTGAATTCGATTGTCAATGTCATTAGGGCTTCTCCAAAACGTCATACTGAGTTACAAGTTGCTCAATCAATGAATATTGTAGAGCTGTTGATTGCTGGTGAATGAGAGACTGGTAGAGGAGCTAATCAAATTGGTACCTTGCATCAACCTGGAGCTACTCGGTGGAGTTCTCATTATGATTCCGTTTGTGACTTAATAGAAATGTATGATGCAGTTTGTACGGTTCTTGAGAATATAAAGAATGATGGATCCACAGGCTCCTTACATGGGGAAGCTACTGGTGGATACAATGCGATTAGGCAATTCGAATTTGTATTCATCTTGCATCTATTGAAAGAAATTATGGGACTCACAGATATCCTTTGTCGAGAACTACAACATAAGTCTCAAGACATCGTGAATGCTATGAACCTAGTTGGTACAACAAAAGATGTCCTTGGAAAATTGAGATTAAATGGTTGGGAAACTTTTATTGGGAAAGTTGATTTGTTTTGCAAGAAACATGACATTGATATGCTTGATATGAATGCTCAATATAAAGTGGGAACATGTCATTCTTGTCAACAAAAGGACAACATTACAGTTGAGCATCGTTACCACTTTGACATATTCAATGATGCAATAGATTTTCAATTGGCAGAGTTGAACAGTAGGTTCAGTGAAGGGGCAATGGAACTTCTTATTCTTAGTTCAGCTTTGGACCCTAGTGATTCTTTTAAATAATTTAATATTGATAAAATTTGCAGCCTTGCAGAGAGATTTTATCCTCAGGATTTCACTCCAAAAGAGTTACATATTTTGGGATGCCAGCTGAAACTTTATGAGGCGGACGTACCTCATCATCCTGTACTTCAAAAAGTGTCTACACTCTCTGAATTATGTCGGGGATTAGTTGAAACAAAAAGGTCAAAAAGATATCATTTGATTGATAGGTTGATCCGTCTTGTGCTAACTCTCCTTGTTTCTACGGCAACTACTGAACGAGCTTTTTCAGCTATGAAACTTGTTAAAACAGCTCTTCGCAACAAGATGGAGAATGAGTTTCTAGCAGATTCTATGGTTTTCTACATTGAAAAAGAACTTGCTGACAATATCAATTCAGATGTAATAACAAAAGATTTCAATTCTCTCAAGGATCGCATGGCACAACTTCAATAAGTACACTTTTAATTATGTTGTTGAACATATTATTTAATACATACTTTGCTTGGTTTATACTTTTATTTGATTTAATGTACACTATTAGCATGGTTTATATGATTTAATGCATAGTTTTATTTTAGTTAAAAAATTTAGCTAGCTCACCGGTCGAAAAATTCCTGGTTCCACCCTTGCTTATAACAACTTTAACTTTCAATTTTTGTCATTTCATGTCCATATGGCAATTTGACATATCAATTGGAGATGCTTTTAGTGTATTTAATCTTTTGCATCTTTTCCATAATGTATTTATTTAATAGCCTAGCTATGATTCTTATAATTGACTTCCAACCCCTCCCCCATAAGATGTGTTTGATTCATAGAAAATGAGGCTTGAGGTTGGGAAATCATATTTTTCTTCATATTTTGAGAGTTTAAATAACTTTTCTTTTTCTATTTCATGGATTTTGAACCTCGTGTTAAACATTCATGAAACCATGATGGTTGATCGTTTCACTGATGCAACATGATATATATATATATATATATATATATTAATGATGAATTAGAGATGTTTAATTAACTTGTTTCTTAAATTTTTCAATAAAAAAACTTGTTTCGTCATTTTAAATTGGAATGATGAGCGTTATGCTTCCTTCATATCATTATTAAGTCTTATTTCTTTGTGTATGGTAGACGTGTCAAACAGGTCGGGCTTATACATCCTATTCCACATCATTGTGCTTCCCTTTTTCTCTCAATAACACGTTTTTTTATTCAGAAATATGGAAACTACTTGATTATACTGACGTAGCTTTAGATTTATGGTATTTGAATATTTTTTTTTAAACATGTCTTTTCTGCCACCAGTTGTTGTAAGCCAATTGCGTGTAAAAGTACCAGTGAGTAGTATTTGAATATTTTTGAAAGACAAGTACTAATTTATTTTCCAGTGTAGTATCATCACTCCTATCATAGTAACTAATACATATCCTATTTTTTGCCCATAAATACATATCATTTTGATCAAAATATCAAGCTTTTTTTTTGTTCTGTTGAATTATCGTCACTCAATTATCATTTACTTATTGGAAATTTTTGACCTAATTATATGATTCAGATCCCAAGTAAAACTGTAAATTGAAATCGCATATTTATATTTGTGACTCTTTTTGCAGATTTTTATATTTTAATAGAATCAAAATTCGACATATGAAGAGACAGCTTCAAATTTATTTGCTATGAATTCTTGTAAGTTATTATTAATAAAGAAGGTTATTAATGGATACTCTTATTTTTTCAGAAGGATGTTCTTTTCTTTTCATAGGAATTAATTCAATAGAGATGAGGAAAAGTTAGTTATTATTTTAAAAAAATTAAGGGAGACTAACACCCTATTTGTTTGCTCAATTAGGAAAAGTTAGTCATTATTAATTTTGTGGAAAAATATTTCAGATAGTCTTTTAATAAACACCCTATAATCATCTTATATTTAATTTGTTTGCTCAATTAAGAAATATAATCACTTAATAAACACTCATAATTTTAACTCTCTACGATTTTATCATAATGTATGCTTTTATTTCTAGAAATTTTTTTTAAGATAATAACTTGTCTTGCTCATTTGCAAATGAGACTTTTTGCACCCAAAGACATCCTCATTTTCCTTTATGCGCATTTATAACATGTTTTCATTGTTAAGGACATCATAGTAATATTATATAGCAATATGATATGCCTTGTATGTAAATAGTAAGGATGATATGTTTATAGCTAGGGGTCATCATTTGGCTCACAGCCTACGAGTTGAAGTGGGTAGCCCGACCCGATAGTTAGGCGTTAGGCCCATTCTAAGGTTGGGTAGGATTTGGGTTAAAGTTTTGAAATTTGCGGCCCACTCTCGGCTTGGCTCGATAAGACCCATCCATGGTCTAGCCCAATCTGAGTAGGTCAGCTCATTACTTCATTTACTTAAGTTTACGATGTAAATAAGGAAGTACCCCGTATTTAGTTGTGTTTTCTTGATTTTATTTGTTTCTTGAGTATAATATTCTCTAGTCAGTTGGTTGACCAATGAAAATTTAGCATGGAAATTACTACTAAGTCAAAGTACATTTTGACAAGCAATCCGTGAAAGGAAATGACTTGTCTTAGCTACTACATTAAACACATGTTTTAGCGATTGGAAGTGTAATACTAATAACTGAAATGGGGAAGTGCCATCATAAATTGCAAAAAACTGAGCAGCAACATGTCTACTTTAGTTTCCTTGTTGGAAAATATCCATTTAGCATGAGCAGAATGATAACTAGATTGTCTGCAATTTTGGGTACCTGAATTTTGTGTATGTCTTGTGTTGATGCTCTTTTTGGGAAGGTCAACTTAGAGAAGAGTGTAGAGTCTTCAGCAGAGGAGAAGGCGAGGACCTTTGGAGTTGGGAGAACCTGCAGAAGACAAGGAGGAAGAAGCAGTCGTCAAGCTTCGGACACCGATGTGGTGCTTGTCGAAGGCTCTCCGATGCTTAAGTAAGATATATGTGGTAATTTTGGCAGAGTAACAGTAAATGTGAGAAAATAGTTACCCATTTTACTCGGGTACTGTTCCCCATTTATAGGGAAGTAGAAATGAGAATTTTGCACAAAGTTTCGATGTAGGACTTTGTGCAAGTTGTTATGGTGGTGACACGTGTCTTTGGAGATTAAGTTCGACAGTTGAGAGCTTCGACAGGTGGCTGCAGCTTCGAAAGAGTGTCTTCCTTTGGCAAGGAAGAAGGTAATGACGTCAGTCACCTTCTGGGGATTTGTCTGTATGCAGGCCCATACTATCAACATAATTTCGTCATCTATATATATAAAGCAAAAGACAGAGAATAGTGAAACATTCAAAATACCATAAAATGCCTTTGGTTAATTCAAATATTAAGAATTAAAATTATTAATTAAATGAGGATAATATGGTAAATTCACTTTTTTTCATATTAAAAAAAATTAAAAACAAAATCAGATAATAACTCCTACTTTTATGGAACATAACTACCCATATTATCTTTTCTTAATTCAAAAAATAAAATAAAAAATAAAAAAGAAAACCAATGGGCACATGCGTGAGCGTGTGCCAAGAGGCTAGTTTTGATAAAATATCTTATAATCTACAATATTGTTAAATGATTAACGATTGCCAAAAAAAAAAAAAGACACAGCCATAAAGCATGAGAAAAAAGATCACGACACGAGGCCTTTTTCGATCACGCTCAAGAGTCCTTTAACAAAACCTTGTTAGTTTTTGTAATTTTTCTAGGTGTTTGTAAAGCTTATTTTAATCACGAGTATTAAATATCACAAAAACATCTATGAAAAAATCACAAAAGCGAAATATAGTATTTTGGTGGTAAAGCCGCTTATTTCCAATCAGCAACCAAAGCAAACAGCCTAGATATTGTTGTGCGCATTGACCTCTTTATTCTTCGCAGGGCCTCCGCCCAGAGTCGGCGAAATCGAGGAATCGGACCCGAAATCCGACAAGTCATCCCGGAACCCGAGTCCGAATCTGAACACCGCGAGGACGAAGGTTCCAGAGGTGGAGGTCTACTTGTATGGGCGAGGAAAAGGCCCGATCGACACGTTCAGAACGAGCCTCGGGGGTTGGGACCAGAACCAGTTGGAGGTCCGAGACATTCCCGACAAGTAGCTTCAAATCGCTTTACTCTTTCAATACCGGGTCGAGTCGCGGCGTTCCGATCTGGTGTAACCCCAGGAACGGCAGGTCTATGCTGGCTTATAAAGATGGATCTACGGTTCACATTGACGGAGAGCCCAAGGTACATTGTTTGTGCAAATAATCTCACGAGAGAATATTCGCTTCTAGATCCTTCAACCTTCGATCTTCCTTCTCTCTCTTCCTCGATTCCTGTAAAACAGATTGGAGTAAATAGACCACACCCGGTGGGTGTTGGCCAAAGGCCCTCCGATGCCTAAGTTAGTTCGAGTGTTTGTAGAAAACAATAGCTAAGCAAAGGGTACAGAGTAGTGTTTATGTAGAGTGTGAACCGGGCGGCCGGAGCCGTGTGTGGTGACCGGAGCCGTGTAGAGAAAATATGGAGAGTGGAGAGGGAGAAAGAGCTTCGAATATTGTTCTCGGGTATAAGGAGTAGATTTATATGTACCTTGAATGATGAATGAAGTCATCTATTTATAGGAGCCTTGGGGCTAGGGTTTCGTAGAGAATATGCTGAGTTTATTATCTACCCAAATTCGTAGGGATCGAGTCGGACTGAGATAATATCTGATTTAATGATATTATCTCTTTTTATGGAGATAATATCTGAATTAAATGATATTATCTCTTTTTATGAAGATAATATCTGAGATAATGACATTATCTTCTCTTTATTAGGATAATATCTTAATTAATGATATTATCTTATTAAATAAAGATAATATCATTTAATTAAGATATTTATCCCAATTAATTAATTGGCCAGATAAACTGGTTCAATTAATTAATTAAAAGAGATAATCTTCTTTTCCACGTGGCGTGCTGTGATTGGAGACGAAAATATCTGCTCCCACATACATCATTTCTATATCTTTTTATTTTTATTTTTTATGAAAACCCAGTTTGTGAAATTAATCGAAGTAAGTTTTTGTTTGGTTGCCGAGAAAATTTGGTTGCATTGGGTAGAAATAAATGTAACTTTAATGCGGTCAAAAGAGATACTGAATTTGAGTGTGAGATAGAATAGATGGAGAAGTGTTTGACATTTGATGCGGAATTTTTCATATTGAGAATGCTTTGTTAAGGCAATTTATATTTTCATGGTTTGCAGCCATGATATTCCAACTATTTGAAATAAATGAACTAGGCTGCAGGTCACTCTCAATTAGCAATAGGGTAGTTCCTCCATACAATCAGAACCTTTAAAGGCAAGATAAATTATAGCAATTTACTTTTTTGAATTTGAGGCATCAATTTCCATGCTTATTTTCTGTTCTTTTGTTTACATGACATTCTGTTTGCAGCCTAAGCTTGGATATGATTTTGACAATTGAGTTCACCTAAAGAACTTGCCGGATTCATGTTATAGGTTTTGATCATTTATATGATAGACACTGAGTTTTACAACCACACTTTCCTAAACAGTAGGATTTCACAGTATTTTTCTTGAAGAATTCTTTTTCATTTGTTGGAAAATTTGTCATCAAAGTAATAATTTGATCTTTCAAAATAAGACTCCATCCCTTAATCAAGCCATTAGTCATATTAAATTTCTCTTGTATCATTTGTACCAAAAAAAAAGGCACAAAATATTGTCCTCCAATTTGGTTAGGTAAATAATAACCTAATAGCTGTATTTAATCTAAAGAAGGCGCTTGAATTTCAATTCTCTTTGCACACATGATGACGTATGATAACAGTCTGAGGTTTAGGTCGAGATGTAAAGGGTTATGTATGCCTATTTTAGCTTAGAAATATAAAAGAAAATTTAATGGAAAGACCCAAAAGAAATAACCAAAATTTGAAGTAATTTTGGATATTTCCAAAGGAAATCCAGAGATACTGAAGAGAAGAGATTAGAGGCGAAGTTGAACAAGCATGAGAAACAGCTGAGAGAAAGGGAAATGCATTTGAACTGAAGATTTGCTGAATTAAACTCAAATATTGTATAACAAACATGAAAATCCACATATTTGGGACACAAGAAAACAAAAGCTAAAGGAAGAAGCAAAGATAGTAGCTCAAGACCACATAAGTAACTCTTACCCAAAGTTAATTTAAAGATTCCATGAAGCAGTAACTCATAGTGAGACAATCCAAAATGGGTTCCTACAGTTTGGGGTTTCTTGGCGTTCGTCTCACAAAAACAGGACCCCTTTCCTAAAAGTCAAAATGGCAAAAGTTCCCGTAAAGAACCTGCAGGATTCATCTTATAGGTTTTGATAATTTATATCATAGACATTGAGTTTTACAACCACATATTCCTAAAAAAAAAGGATTTCACAGCATTGTTACGGTTTTGTCTTCGCTCATTTTTCGTTTTTATGGTCAGAAACTGTTGCTATTAGCACAACACCACATACTTTCTTATGTGTTTATTGTCTATTTCATGAGCAGTCTGTCAGGATCTCCTGTATCTTTTGTCTTTCCACCCTCGCATTTCCTTCTAAAAGACAAATAATTTGATTTTCTCCCATGTAAAGGAATGCTCTGCAGGTGGACTGTTTACAATTTATTTGCCACAAGATTCTTTGATATGCATTATGTTGCAGACAGTGGAATGTTGCAGTGACATGTGATATGTCTTTTGGTACTAATTTCCTACTTAATTCTTCTCTAAATGCAGGATTCCTTGATCCAACCGGTGACAAAAATCTTGCTTGGAGTAGCTGTTATAACCGTCTTGATAACCTTGGTTTTGAGAGATCCTCCACAGTGGGTCCAAAAATTGAACATTTCTGGCTTGAATTTTCCCTCCTTGGATCATTGCTCTGGTGGTATAGTTTTTACTCGGATGAGGAAGAGAACCGGAGATTTGCTGAAAAAGTATGGTTGGTGAAAGGCGCCATTGATGCTTTCCCTTGTAAGGCCTTTTTGTTTCTCAAATTTTGTTAAAAAGAATTTGATTCAGTATCAACTGAATTTTGATGATGAAGCAAGTGACGCTCATCTGGACGTCGTCATAACTGTAATTGGCGACAAGCTGCACTGAAAGATAAATTTGGTTATGAAATACCAAACCTCGGAAACAACATTCATAAGATCATCTTGTTGCAACATTAAGATTCAAAACAATAGATAGATAAATGGGTGATTATCAACTGGTTTATAAATAGTTTCATAAGATCATCTTGTTGAATATGTTTCTACTGCTTGACGCCTTAAATGCCTTTAGCTTATAGGACTTAATAAACCAGCATAAAGAGTGCTAGCTTTTTTCTTCTCATGGTAATTTAGCTAAATCTGCCTCAATCTTGAATGTTTGAAGTTTTATGCTCTTCTACATTACAATCCTACTTGGATCTCTATTTTCGTTCTTAATTGTATATGTAAGACTATGGCATTAAAATCACTGTCAACTTTTGGATCTATTACTTCTAGTTTGAATTACATTGGATGTTTGTTAGGCCCTCAGTTGTGCTTAATTGGGTTGTGTTTGTTGCATACTGCCTTTTAGCCTCCATCCTTACCTCTACTTGAGGTTGTTTTATATCATATCAATAAAGGCGAAAGGTTGCTTTACCAAATAATATAAGGACATTCCTTTTAAGAAAGTATCTATAGCATATGGTGTAATGTCAGTCTTCTTATAGCTACAGAATGATTTCCCTAGTGTGAAAATGTCATCCTCTGCTTTCGTGGAAATGTGAGTACATGCATTTTGACTAGATTGACACCTACTACTCATTCATAAATCATGCGGTACCTCATAAATCCAGTTCTCCAAATATTTTTTTAAAAAAAAGTTATTATAGTTTGTTTATTTCAAGATACAACTAGCACTGCCCAATTCTACTAAACATATTGACCGCGGTGAAAAATTGTCGTCTCAGACGACGCTCACCTATACGATGGTTTAATGAACCTCTCAGAATTCCAATCTGTTACATGAGGTAATTTAAAACTCAGATATGCTAAATAAGAGAAGACTGCATAATTGAAGGAGATTGCACAAACTATCAAGGAGATTATTCGATCCTGCACACAACAGAAGAGAGCAGTTGAAATAGTCACGTAAGTTGTGTGAATAAGAATCAAACCATTATAAGAAAACTAGGTCTAATGAGCTCGTAGCTCTTGAAGTGCAAATTTCATGCGAACCTGGCCAATAAGCACACAACTACTTTTGATCAGCTTCAAATCCAGTATCAAGACCCCAAATTTGAGTTGACTATTTTTGATCAGCTGGGTCTAATAAAAAACAATTCAGTCTATCTGAACGTACTTATTGATTGGTAATGTACTTATTGATTTGCAGTATGTTAACAGATACTTCGTTCAAATGCACAAAATATGCAGCTCTTGCAAACATGTATATACTACATGAGTTGATTAATGCTCTGTAGTAGTTTAAACAGAAATGCATTCATGACAAAAGCGCATGAAGGGAGAGAGAGAGAGAGAGAGAGAGAGAGGAATTGTCATCCACGAAAGTGATGAATCTAATGGTAAATGTATGGCTAGAAAAGATAGTGATGGGAACCTTACTAATATCAATTGTGAGAAGACCGTCATTAGCCTTTCAAGTATTTATGTGCAGACGTTTGAGGAGGCGGCGTTTTTAACAAAGGTCACAAAAATTTAGCTGCTCTTTTAAGAATAACAATTTTTATTAAACTTTTCAACAATAGCGAAAAATAAGAGGGTGCAAGGCCTAAGTAGGAAATCAAAGTGGTTACCCTCCAAATCAAAAGTCCTATGCACTCCCATTGTTCGCTATTGTTGAAGGATTTCATAAAAACTGCAGTTGTTAAAAAGAGGGAGAAAATCTTTACAAGTTTTGTTAAAAACCATTTGGAAAGAGCAAAGCTTTTGCGGCAGAGAGATTTTTGGTGAGAGCTTCCACTTGCACTTGCACTTGCATCAGCTGAATTGTGAGGAGAAGTAGCTTTTGTGCTGATGTTGATGGAGTGGTTCATCATCATGATTTGGTTGAGTTCTTCCACGTCTTGTTTGTGCACCAAACGGAACCCACACTTCTTTATACCCGAGTAATATACGGGCCTCCATCCTTCATAATAATAAGATTGGAATGAAATCTTCATCTGACTGCATTCTTTGTCGACTACAGAATGATATACACAAGATACCCAAAGGTGAGGTGACACAAGATGGCCTCTATCAATGGGTGTACTATGCACAGCGGCACCTTCTCCTAGGCGACATTCAATTTGAAAATTTGGGTGATCCACAGGGGCACCTTCTTCAAAGACAGCACAAAAAGCAAACCAAATGGACGTGGTACATGGAGGTAGCTCCACAATTAAGGAATCTCCTACATTTTGATTATTGAACCACTCTGGAATTCTACTTCCAGGTGTTACAATTTGGAAAGCGGGAGTATTTGAAATTGGCGAAGTGAGTAAAGGTACCTGTGTACTATGTATAGGTTAGTAACTTGATTATTTATTTATTAATATAGCAAACAAAGAGAGACAGAGAGACAGAGAGAGAACCTGAAGGAATCCCCAATCCAGAGCAGTCCAGAGCATTCCAAGTTTGGCAAACAAAGAGAGAACCTGATGATTATTTATACTATCATCGCAGCCATCATTCTCAACCAATCCATAGCAATTCACACAACTCAACGAAACATGACATCTTCCTTTTTTTATGCTCAACTTTGGCAACGTTTTTAAGGAAGGGCAATCGTCTGTGTACATGTAAATATGTCTGAAGCCTTCAATGAATCCAAAGCGGAGATGGGGCAATTGTTGAAGCCTTTGGCACCCACTCACCGAAAATGAGCAAAGCTTAGGAAGACATCCAATGCTTGCAGGAAGGCTAACAAAATTGTTTCGACTGAGGTGTAATCGTTCTAAAGAGGACAAGCAGCCAATATCACATGGAATATCCCCTTCACTGAGACCACAATCACTCACATCCAAATACTTCAAAGACCATAAACCATGTAGCGAACCCAACACAAAAGCCTTTCTTTGGAGGCCCCACCAAAACCTTGATTTATTACGCTCTGATTTATTAGGCATACAGATCTTTAAAGAGCCCCACGAGTTTTCTGGGCGTTTGTCACTGTATGAGCATCCATTCACACAGAGCTCTTGAAGAGACTTCAAATTACAAATTTCGCTCGGAAGACCCAAGAGATTTTCACAATTGCTTACATCCAGTAAAGTAAGGCCAACAAGACGTCCAATTGATGAAGGTAATTTTTCAATGGGCGTCCCACTCAAAATAAGCATTGACAACTTTTCCATTTGTCTTGAAAATTCTGGAATCTTTTTCAGTTTTGAGCAACCATCAAGACTGAAATGCACAAGAGAATCCATTTCTACCTCACTTGGAAGACTCTTAACACTTTTGCATCCATCTAGTGTTAATTCTGTAAGCCATTTTAGATATGCAACGGACGGGTGAATCTCAACTAAATTCTCACACCCTTCAAGAATCAACACCTCGAGTTTTGGAATGCCAGTGAAATTTGGGGTTGTTGCCAAGTTTCGAGAGTGACTAAGGTCCATGTATTTCAAATTGGGCAAGTCCTGTACAATATTACATGAAAAATAGTAGAATATATAATTAGCAACCAGAAAACTTAAACTTTTACTCTCTTTTTTCAAAAAATTCGTACGATGGCATATGGTCAGTAATCTTACAATTCTGTCATCCCAGAGCCCAACTAGTTTGCTGTCCTGCATCTCAAGTGAAACAAGTTTATTCGGTTGAAAATTTGATGGGAGATATTTGGAAGAATACCGATTCCATTTCATAATTCTTAAGGAATTAGGAAGAATTCTGGGGATTGACATTGGGGAAATGATCACATTATCAACTTCAAGAAATTTCAGGTTATCATCTTAGAGAATGCTTCACAATTCCAATCCACATTTTCAAGTTCTGCCATGCTTAAGGCAATGCCCTGAATTTTTTTACTTGCCTGTAATAAAGAAAAGAAAAGGAAAAGTTAATTTCACATGTAAGTCTAATATTGAGTTAAAAAGAAATCATATTTCTTTAAAAAAGAAATAATAATAAAAATTGGTACTTTCTACATAACTTCTTACCGTATTGTTTATCAATACATGAATGATGTCATTACGATGACACAATCGACTGCGTCCACCAGGCTCTTCAGGAGACTCTTGACGAACAATTTCAAATGCCATTTCTTGTATCAAATCATGCATCCCAACAATGTTTTTTGAAATATAAATGGTTAAGAGTGACTTCTCAACCAGAGCATTTATCCCACAACAACGGTCACAACTGTTTAGTATTCCAATTACTTCATTCTTGTCCTTCCCCTTAAGGAAAAATGCAACATCAAGAAATATATTCTTGCTCATCTCATCTAGTCTATCAAAACTGATTTTGAGCAAATTGAAAATTTCTGTCTTAGGAATTTTCTGTAGCTTATTCAATTCATTTTTCCATTCATCTTGATCTCTCTTATACACAGAGCATCCCAAAATTTTAAGAGCTAATGGAAGGCCTCCAGCATAATTTACAAAGCACTTGGACAATTCCCAAAAACCTTCCTCAGGCTCAAATTTTTTAAAGGCATTCAGAATAAAGAGCTCAAGAGCCTCATCATCACCTAATCCCTCTACCTTATATGATATCTCCATATCATGCTTTTTAACCAACCGTTCATCTCTAGTTGTAATGATGATTATACTCCCCTTACCAAACCAATCCATTTCCTTAGCAAATTTCTCTAGTTGGCTTGATGCATTCACATCATCAAGAATGAGAAGAACCTTTTTATTACATAAGCAATTCTTAATGAAATGGGTCCCCCAGTCTTCATTCAAAACTTGAGTAATTTGTTTCTTCAAGATAGGGAAAAGAAGCTGTCTTTGTAGATCAACAAGACGATTACCTTCAGAAGCCTCTCTAACATTAGCAAGAAAGCAGCTAACTTCAAAATGAATAGAAATGCTTTCATAAACAAGCCTAGCAATGGTTGTCTTGCCAATGCCTCCCATCCCCCATATCCCTACAAAGCGAACATCATCTGTAGGAGCTACAAGCAAATCCATTTGCTCACGTGTAAACTTAATTCCCACTAACTCTGTTGAATCTAACAATTTGAATGTGCAATGCACTTTCCTCCACACCCATTCAACAATCTTTTCAATGAGCTTTCTTTCACACCTACAAGGAAGAACAATGATTAAGTCAAAAGTATAAGCCTAAAGGTACATCAAAGTGAAAATTGGCTTACGAAAAACCCAAGTATATATGGAGAAGTTGCTTACTGATTCTTTGAATCCAACCCAGATAAATTGGCAACTTCTGTTAAAGCAGCTCTCCAGCGCTTCACCTTTTCCATGTTTTCCCTAAACCTTTTCTCATGCTCAGTGAACACGCCTGCAAAACTGCCACTTTGTTTTCGCACATCAGAGGGATCCACATTATAAAACACAGGCAGAACTGTGCCGTTGGATTTCATGCATTGGATAATCTTTGTAAGTTCATCCAAGCACCAGGAAGAAGAAGCATAGTTTGGCGAGAGAACAACGATTGCAAGCCTTGATTCTTGGATTGCTTTGAAGAGCTCAGAAGAAATAGTTGTCCCTCTTTCAAGCTCTGGATCATCCATGAATGTTTTGATGCACCTGTTCTGCAATTCGTGGTATAAATGGGATAAAATGCCATTTCGAGTGTCTACACCCCTGAAACTCAAAAACACATCGTACTTCCAATGAGGAGGAGCCGACTGATCAGCTGAAGGATGAAAAGCAGAGGTTCTTTGGGTGCTCAACGCCATTGGAAATCTGCTGCTTCTGCTGTAAACACCACTCAATGAAACAAGAACTTCGGTAATTAAATATTCAAAAATCGAAACAGTCAACTGAATAATACGAAGATTATCATAAATGGCTTGAAAAATGAAAAAGATTGAAATTGAAATTTGGTAAATGAAAATTTAGATAGTCGAACATTACTTCTAATTCAGCAGAGAGAAATTCAACATATTATTTAGCACAGCTCATAAGGAACAAAAAGGACCAATTTCAACATTAAAACAAAAATATCATGTCATCTCAAATAATGGGTTGGCATTAAAAAGCCTCATCACTAACTACACCAGTCAACTAAAAACTGCAAATGCTTTATCTTAATGTTACCTGAACAAGGCAATTATATAAAAATGGAGACGAAGCAAGGCAGCAGCTTTAGCTTAATGTTACAAGTTACAACGCCAGAGAATTGGTAAGACAACAACCACAAGATCAGCAAGCCAACAAGAAACTCACAAAAAATACAAGATCAGCAAGAAGCAAAGCTAACAGCCTCAGAAAAGAGATGCACAGAGAGAGAGAGAGAGATAAGTAGTGGCGAACAGAGAGAGTGGTGTAGAGTACACGGCTTTTATGGTCAGCTATCTCCAACGTCTCCAATGGGAGTCCAAGTCTTCTTGTGTCAATGAGTCATTTCATTTGCTTTTCAATAAAGAGGAAGGAGGGTCTCATTTCATTTCCGACAAGTTCTTATGAGTGTCAGGCCAATTTTTTTGACTTTTTATTTTTATACTTGCCAGGCCAATTATTTGAATGGTTTCTTTTCTTGGTAAACTGTGGTGAGATTTTTTGTTTTTTATTTTTTGGTCACACGATAGGGAAAAAACTGTGGTGTGGAAGGAAAAGGCAATTACTTGATCTTTTCAGCCGCACAACGTCTCCCAATGAGAAAGGATGGAAGCAACATACGAAATTTCATGGCAGTTCACTCTCTGAAATGGGTTTTCTCTTTCTTAGCTTTATTTTTATCACCCTCTCTGGGGTATTGTGATCACTAAAATGAACGGAGCATATCTATGCTTGTATGTAGTAATGTCAGTCTTTTATAGCGCTCCAAAATGATTTCCCTAGCGTAGTGAACAGATGGAAACCCACAAGAAAAAAGTATGAACATATGGAAAAAATAATGGAAGAGAGAGAGAGAGAACCGCGTAGTGAACAGGGTCCCTTTCTCTTTACAGTCACATGTCATCTGCAATGGGATGGGGCCGGGCATTATATGAGATTTAATTTGAGGAGAACATGATTTCTCTTCACCCTCACCCAGCTTTACAAAAGAAAGACTTGAACACACCCACCACACACAAAAGAATCGTCGTAAAAATAATTCAAAACCAATTTCTGCATACAAAAAGACAAGCAAATGAGAAGCATGGAAAAATACAAAAGAAAGACTTGAACACACCCACCACACACGAAGTTTGAGAAAACAACAAGAGAAAGGACGACACTTTCCACCCAAAGGAAGGAACATACAATTTCATGAAAGTTTCCTCTTGAAACTATCATATTGTGTCCTTGTTTTTAGGCCCGCATATTAACTTAAGGACCACAAATAACACCAAAATACAAGAAAAACACAATTTGATAATTTCGGAAACTGTGTAGTTACAGTAGTTTAAATTTCAAAATAACACTAATGGCCTTAATCAAGCAATTAGTCATTTTAAATTTCTTCTCAGTATAATATATTAATAATAACCTTACAGTTGCTCAAGAGCATTATCGCTACACCAGAGGTCTTATGTTCAATTTCTCTTCCACCATATCACTTATATATTAAAAAATAATAATTAAAAAAAGCACAAAATATTGTCCTCCCATTTGGTTAGGTAAATAATAATCTTATAGATGTATTTAATCTAAAGATGACGTTTGAAGTTCAAATTCTCTTTGCATATGTTAGTAGCACGACTCATCATAGTGGAGGCAACTCATACATTCACACAAAGTTTTGCATACATGATGATGTACGATAACAGTTGAGGTTTAGTTTGAGATATAAAGGGGGTATGCCAATTTCAGCTTACAAAAATAAAATAAAATTTGCTGGAAAGACCCAAAAGAAAAAAACCAAGATGTGAAGTAATTTTGGACAAACATGAGAAACAGCTGAGAGAAAGGGAGATGACAATGCATTTGAACTGAAGATTTGCTGAATTAAACTCGAATATTGTATAATAAACATGAAAATCCACATACTTGGGACACAAGAAAACAAAAGCTAAAGGAAAAACCAAAGATAGTAGCTTAAGACCACATAAGTAACTCTTACCCAAAAGTTAATTTAAAGATTCCATGAAGTTGATTCTCACAAGTCAAAACTAGAAGCATCGATTCCGTTTCGAAAGTTGAAGCAATAAACTCATGGTGAGACAATCCAAAATGGGGGTTTCTACAGTTTGAGGTTTCTTGGAGTTCATCTGACAAAAAACAGGACTACTTTCCTCAAAGTCAAAATGGCAAGAGTCAAAGCATGGCCTAAACAGAATAACTTAGCATACAGCGTGTACAAACAATGGCTATGAATCGGGGGCATAAAAAATGGAAAATTTAGGCAGCCCAGCATTAGAGGTGAATTGCTCAAATAAATTCAGCATGCACAACCCCCTCTTTGATCAGACTCTGAAACAGCCTCCGGGATGCCTTGTAAAGATCTACAAGTAAAAAGGAAATGGGAAAAAAAAAGAGATAAAACATCATGTTTAAATGGGTCATAAATACATCTCATAGCAAGCTCCAGAATCTGAAAATAACAGCACGCAGCAATAATAGCAGAAAGACAGAAACATTCTAGATGGAAAGGCGAGGGACTTTGTAAGGTGACCGAAAGGTGGGGACATTGTACGACGATGGAAAAGCAGCAGCGTTGTAGTGCGATGGAAAGTTTGAGACACTTAGAGCGATGAAAAGTTGGGGACACTGTAAGGTTATGGATAAGGTATTGATCTAAACAACACAGCCAGTTGCAAAGATCTTTAGAGGTGAATGATTCATGTTCGCAACTTATCTAATTCTTAACTATAAACTGTTATAACAGCATCCTAGAAGATCTCAAATTAAGTTTTAAGGAGAATATTTCACTATGTTTATGTGCTATCTATCGACTGTGCGCAAATGATTCCAAAAAACAGCTGATTCTCATTCTCTGAATCTGGAGTAGCTGATGAAACTAAGTATATTCTAAAAACAGTAAAATAGAACCACAGACATTAACAAGAAGACAACGTAACACTAGCTCAGACAACCACATACAAAATTGAGTTTCGTATTATAACACAACCATCCAAAAGCGTTTATTAATATCCAGTTTTCATAGTATAACACAACCATCCAAAATCAGTTTATTCACAATATCCAGTTTTCATAGTATAACACAACCATCCAAAATCAGTTTATTCACAATATCCAGTTTTGACACCAAATACCAGAAAACAACCACAGACATTAACAAGAAGACAACCACAGACATCATGTAACACTAGCTCAGACAACCACATACAAAAATGAGTTTCGTATTATAACACAACCATCACATACAAAATTGGGGTGAAGACTGATACCCGTGGAAAAACTTACTTGTTCATGATGCCTCCATTGACGGAATCACAATAATGCTTCATCCATCACATGAACTCCAAATTATCCAGAGGCCTTCCTTTCACATGCTTGCTCACCTCAATGTGCTAAAAATCCCCAAACACATACAGAATACCAAAAGAAGAGTAAAGAGATAAATTATTTAAAGGAATTTTACGGCAGAAATTAAAGAGAATGAAAATGCAAATTTACCATACGCTGGCCAGGAATAATTGTTGAAACATGACCCAGTTTAAGGTGCTTTGCTTCTTTGCTCCGCAATGAATATTCAAATGATCCATTATTTGAGCCAGCACATGGAAAATAGCAACTTCTAGCAGCGAAGTAAGCATGATTTGTATCGGCGAACATTTAAAAAATGAAAATTAAAGGAAAACGTTACAGTATACCAGTGGCATTCATTTAAGAAAAAAGAAAACATCAGGAAGCTTTTTCATCTCTCTCTTGCTTGCTAGCTATGGCTTTTACCATTATTTTCTTGAGCTGATGAGGTGCTTGAGTGTCTCCAAACCCTATTCAAAAGACAGAGGAAATAACAAAGTAATCCTATACACTAAGAACAAAACAGAGCAGTAAAGATTAATCCATATGAAGCAAGCATTGACTCAAAATTCATTAATTAGTCACCTCCTCTGCAAATGCTTCGCCCAAAGAGCAATATAACTCTGCACAAATCACAGCCCAACCCAGTTTTGTTAGGGCAATTTGCAGTGATCACAGTGGGTTCCCCAACCTTGTCTGCCTTGCTAATTACCACAACATCCTGCAAAGCTCAGCGGCAATAGAGAAAGTGTGAGCCAAAAAGCACTGCATGCCAAAGTCAACAAAATTTCCTATCCATGGACTCACTGCAACCTTCTCTGCCTTCCTTTCTTTTCTCTCTGTGTTTTCCTAAAAGACTAAAGTGCAAATATGATCAAGTTTTCCACTTGACAAATTACTACAAGCAAAATGTGACATTAATAAATGCAATTAGATCGATATTTTGACCAAAATTTAAGATACTCAAACTCAAGTAAATCCAAAACTCAGTAAGAGACTTGGACTTGAAAAATCTAACAAACCCAAAATTGAAAGGTAGTCCCAAGAAAGGATGAAAAGTACTTCCTATCTCTTAGCTTGAGCCTTGAAATATAATATCAATTAAACTAGGTATACCAACTTCATATCTCTGTTTTACAGACCAACAAAGTATGAAAAATGTACTAAAACCACAAGAAAAAAAGGTAACAACAGCTTTGGATTAAAATCTGTAAAAAAATCCTTCATATCTTTTAGCTGGAAAGGGAAGAATAAATTAAACTAGAGTCGTTGTCAAATTATTAAATAAAGATCAAAACCAAATTGTACCAACTTGAGATCTCTGTTTTACACAAGAGAGTCGGGTCAAAGAAAAAGAAAGGGTGAAGGAAATTACTCGAACAACACCCTCCCTAGCTGACAAAACAAGAATATCTGAACAAGAAACAGCTCCAGGGCACTCCCTCTCCAGTGCTTCTTTAATTTCTTCAATGTACCTTAAGTTTCTCATCCCAAAGCTCATGGTCTGAAAAATAGCCACACACCACAAAAAAATAAATAAATAAATAAAACAGGGGAATAAGTACTGATCTGTTGGATAAAATCCAATTCGGTTCCATATAGATTTCAAAAACAAACAAAACAAAGCAACTGAAGGGTTTTTAGGTCTATGGTCTCTAAATTTTGACCCGATTTGGTCCCTCAATTTCCAAAATCGTTCTCATGGTCTTTCAACTTCACTTCGTTAGGACAAATAGTCCTCCTCAATTCTATTCAACATATTGACCATTGTGAAAAATTGTCATCTCAAACGACGCTCACCTATACAAAGGTTTAATGAACCTCTCAAAACTCTAGTCTGTTACATAAGGAAATTTAAAACTCAGACATGCTAAATAGAGAAGACTGCATAATTGAAGGAGTTGCACAAACTATCAACGAGATGAAGTGAAGCTAACAAGGTAGGAATCCTGACAAAGCATCAATTCTCAATGCTAAGCTTCTGATTGAAAATTCAACAATCTTTCAATGAGCTTCTTTCACACCTACAAGGAAGAACAGTGATTAAGTCAAAAGTATAAGCCATAGATATAACAAGGTCTAAAGGTACATCAAAGTGAAAATTGGCTTACGACAAACCCAAGTATATATGGAGAAGTTACTTACTCATTTTTTGAATCCAACCCAGATAAATTGGCAACTTCTGTTAAAGCAGCCTCCAGCACGTCACCTTTTCTATGTCTTCCCTAAACCTTTTCTCATGCTCAGCGAAGGCGCCTGCAAAACTGCCGCTTTGTTTTCGCACATCAGAGGGATCCACATTATAAAACACGGGCAGAACTGTGCCGTTGGATTTCATGCATCGGAGAATCTTTGCAAGTTCATCCAAGCACCAGGAAGAAGAAGCATAGTTTGGCGAGAGAGAAACGACTGCAAGCCTTGATTCTTGGATTGCTTTGGGGAGCTCTGAAGAAATGGTTGTCCCTCTTTCAAGCTTTGGATCATCCTTGAATGTTTTAATGCCCCTGTGCTGCAATTCGTGGTATAAATGGGACACAAAGTTATTTCGAGTGTCTACACCCCTGAAACTCAAAAACACATCGTAGTTCCATTGAGGAGGAGCCGACTGATCAGCTGAAGGATGAAAAGCAGAGGCTCTTTGGGTGCTCAACGCCATTGGAAATCTGCTGCTTCTGCTGTAAACACTACTCAATGAAACAAGAACTTCGTTAATTAAATATTCAAAAATCCAAACACTCAACTGTTAAATACGAAGATGATCATAAATGGCTTGAAAAATCAAAAAGATGAGAATTGAAATTTGGTAAATGAAAATTTTAATAAACAGAGGAAAATTACAGCAGAACAAGTTTCAAAGCAACTGGGGAAATTTAGATAGTCAAACATGGATTTGAATCATCTTAGCAAACATGTCAATTTGGACCATGTTAACAAAACATATCAAGTTTCTAACAATGGAACATTACTTCCGATTCAGCATATTATTTAGCACAGCTCATAAGGAAAAAAGAAGAAGACCAATTTCAACATTAAAACAAAAAAAACAAGCAAAAAAAAGACCAATTTCAACATTAAAACAAAAATTTCATCTCAAATAATGACAAAGCAATTACACCACTTAACTAAAAACTGCAAATGCCTGACTAGCTTTGAGAACGCGCCTCACGCGCGGGTGAAATTCTGTTTTACAGAGTCGAGAGGTTCGTTCTTCGTCGTCTAGAAAACTGCGTACGCGGCGGTTTCTGGGTGTAGCCTTGCTTAGTTACTGGTTGTGCGTTCTCTAAGCCTTCTCCGAGTATGGAGGAAGGTTCGCCTGGTGTGTTCTTTACGAGCTCCAAATCGACGAAGCGAGTCCGAGCGTCGGAGGATAGTGTTCCTGAGTATGGTTTGGAAGATGCTTCCGATCATACTCCGATGCTGAAGTCGGGTTTTGTTGATGGCCCAGTGATGGAAGGTAGATCTAGATTTGGATCTGTGAGCTTTAGGGATAAGCTGATGGATACGGTTAATTTAGCCAAAAATGTGGGAATTGATGTGAATAGCCTTGAGGCAGATTACGATGATCTCAATGATGAGACGGATGTTGTAGTTTGCTCGTGGGGAGCGTGGTCCAAGCATCCAATTCTCCAAACGAGCTATGGATCGATTGTGCAAGCCTTGGAAGAATGCTCTGATTATCAAGTTGCTAGGAAGATCTCACACTTACAATTATTTCATGCCAGATTGCAGCAAAAATGGAGTCTTAAAGGGGGCTGGAAATTGGTGGATCTAGTCAATGATTATTTTGTGGTGAAATTTGAGCTGGAGGAGGATTTGGATTTGTTCTCACTGGAGGGCCCTGGATTATTGCAGGGCAGTATTTGGTTATGCAGAAATGGAGGCCTGGATTTTGCCCAGCTACTGCTAAGATTACTAGGATGGCTGCTTGGATTAGGGTGTCTGCTTTACAGTTGGAATGTTTTGATGTGTGGTCCTTGAAGAGAATTGGCAATCTATTGGGCAAGCTCTTGAAAATTGATTCTCTAACCACATCCCAAAATCGGGGTAAGTTTGCTAGACTTGTGTGGAGCTTGATCCAACCCAGCCTTTAGAGGCTTTTGTCCAAATTAATCAGAACTGGTATAATGTTGAATATGAAGGGCTGCCTGAGATTTGTTTTCTGTGTGGAAAATATGGTCATAAAAGGGAGGCTTGTGATATGAAAGCTGTGGATCCTGTGGAAAGTAATGCAGGGGTTTCTGATGAAGGGGGAGTGGATCATATGGCCACTCATTCTGGCACTAAGGATGCTAAGGATATGCTTGGGGAGAGTGGGTTAAGAGGTCCATGGATGATTGTTCAACCTAGACGGAATGTCAAAGCTTCTTTTAGAGATGGTAATGGTAAGGGTTATGGTGCTCAAGCTAAGGGGTCTAGGTTGCTGCTCTTCGACAAGTGAATGATGATTTTGGGAGAGCTGAAGCTGGTAGTGATGTGGAGCCAGTGAAAAATTATTCCAAACCAGCTAGTTCTTCTGCTCCTGTTGTTGATTTTAGTCCCAAAGTTTGGACTAAATCGCAAAAGTCTAAGAGTGTCTCCAGAACTGTTTTGAATGATATTTCTAACCATTCTGTTCATATCCAACGTAAGGGTGGTGAGAGTGGTAGGAAATTTTCTGGTGGTAATAAAACCCCTTTTGGAGGTACGACTATAAAAGAGAGATTTGGGACAAGGGGAGAAAAGGTTAATACCAAGGGTATTGTAAATGATCAGATTGCTAGTTGGTTAATGAGAATGATTTTTCCAAAGAGAAAGGAGTTTATTTCTTTGGACATCAGCCACCCAACATACAGGAAGAGGAAGAGTCTGTGGAGGATAGCTCTGAGTCTGATGATGATGAGGAGCAACTTCTCTGCTCGATTCCTGGAAACCAAAATAAAGTTGAACAGATGGATTTGTCTGAAGGGCAAGGAAATGTTGTTGAAGAGCAGTTGGCAGATAATACCTTCGACAATGTTGGAGGTATGCCTCTTGGTTGTTAAAGGGTAAAACCCTAAGGTTAACTTTTTTGCTGTTAACTCGTTCATTATGAATTTAGTTTGTTGGAATGTTAGAGGTGCTGCTAGCACAAAATTCAAAAACAATATGATGGAGTGATCCGTTCTCATCGTATGGATATTTTGTTTTATGTGAGCCTAGAATTAGTGGTGAGAAGGCTTTGAATATTGCTACCTTTCTAGGATTTTCTTGTGTTGAAATTGTTGATTCAGTTGGGTTTTCTGGTGGTCTTTGGTTGATGTGGGATGATAGCAAAGTGCATCTGGACATCATTGGGACTTCTGATCAGTCTATTACAGCCTCTGTGTCTTGGAAGGACCAATCTCCTTGGCTGTTAACTGTGATTTATGCTAATCCTAGTGGGTTCAAGAGGGAGAAGCTTTGGGAGTATTTGGATTTTGTTGCTACCTGTCATCAATTGCCTTGGTTACTA